TTGGACCGGCCTCGAGAAGAAAAAAAAGTCTGCATGTTCACAGGTGGAGGGAAGAAACATAGAAAGGAGGTGACCACTCTTTATACGTTCTCACGGGTTATTTTTACTCTTCATCTTCGTCCCATTATAACTGAAATATGTTGATTAAAGAAATAGTTTGACGTTTTGGGAAATACACTTATAGAAATAGACTGATGCTACATATTAACCTACAGCCATTAGCCGCTTAGCTTAGCATAACACTGTGCACCAAAAGGTTTCTCAAACGTTCTGCACCGCGTAAAAGAAAATATTCAGCTCTCCAAGTACCACCATTATGACCGCCATTACAATACAGTAGCGTAGGCCGACCCTATTCAGCTCTTCCTAATAGTTCCCGTTTGGAGCTGACTGCAGTGACTTTGAACCATTTATTTTACCTCGCTTACTATCTTGCCATCCCAGTTTAGCTCAGAACTAATCCTGGATGTATGGGCGTGCTACGTGCACAAACCCAACTATTTACCAGATTCCTCCGCATACCTGCAGGGAGCTTGCAAACCACTAGTGGTACCCTAGGGGGTAATGTGAAAGACTAATTCTTGACGGGGCGCCGCGGGGAGACCGACGGCAACAACCTGCAAGGAGAGGGTCACATGACTGAGTAGCAACCTGCCCCAATGTGTGCTGGAATATACTTTTTCTTTAGAATTGGACCATTGCTGTCATTACACAGTTTGGCCACTTTCTCAAATTGGCTTCAGAGCCTGGCACTCTTCCTGGGGACTTGGACTGACCTCTGCAGATTGCTGACGTATTTTTGTACGCCAACCTGGAAATAAGCATTGCCCTTGTTCCTTCAACAAAAAGCCAATAGGATTTTTCCATTGGATTCAGATTATTGCAAAGTATTCGGCTAGATTATTTCAGGCATCGAACCAAAAACCCAGTGACGAGGGAACCAGAATGCCAAAATGCTAACTAAGTTCTTTCTATTGGCTTAGTGAGCAGAGTGACTGGGTTAATATCGCATAATGATTTGTCATTCAAAGAAATGTTAAAATAGACATAACAAATAACTAATGAAATAACATTTGCTTTGAAGGAGCACTAGCTGATTCCCCCTCCCTTTGTTCTAAGCTGGCTAGCAAAATCAGAGTGTCTCGATGAATTCACGTTTCCCAAAATGTCAAACTATTTCTTTTAAAACACTGACTAAATTCACTTGAGCTGCTTAATAGTTAGTTTCTCTAAACGCACAACCCATTTTATCCCTCTCTCCAATTCTCTATCTTTTCCTCCCTCAGACATCTCATCCAGGCCTCAATGTCTCCTGTGTTGGCAGGCTGGATGTCCAAACTGTCCACTGTAACCATCCCACTTAATCCTGTGATGGGAATATTGGCTCAGTTCCACACTCATCCACCCGGGTTAATGTCTGTTGCTGGCTGGCTGGCTTTTGGGTGGGTGTGTGTGTGTGTGTGTGTGTGTGTGTGTGTGTGTGTGTGCGTGCGTTGTGGCCATATCTGTCCCACACAAACCACCTTAATCACATCTAAAGACATTCTGTGCTGTACGCTCATACACCAACCCTGTCCTGCAGAGTCCTGGGGCCTCATTTATCAAAGCATGTGTGGAACAAGCTCTAAATGTGTGTGTGGGAACTTTCTATAAAACTTATATTATAACACTCATACTCACACTTTTACACAATGAACTATGATAAATTCTACAACTCTACATCCATCTACTTGAGCACATACAGATTCATTCACATCCAGAACCCCATACACGGTCTGTCAGATCTCTCTGAAAGTCATTATGAACAAAAGTAGCAACTGAGAAAGATAAAGCCGGAAACCATCACAGACAATAAAGTTTAGATACTTAAGCATTCCAGAAGCAGATGGGCAAGGAAGCTTCCCAGCATGCAACAAGACAACAGATTTATGAACATACGTCTCATATTTTACAATGTGTTCTACAACATTCACTCTATTTCCACAAGTCATTTGTTCTTATACTATTAGTTATTACCAGTGAATGTGGTTACACTGTGTGTGTGCGTGTGTGATGTGGTGTGCACAGGGGGGCAGGCAAACTCCGGCTGTTTGAGGGGCAAAACAATAAAAAAGGGCACCAACATGCAGAAAGTTGTGATGCTTTTATGGTGAAACAGCTTAGTCAGGGTTAGGTTTAGCCCCCCAGAGGGCACTTTACCACGTTTTCACCACTTTACTTTTTTCACTGGTGGGGGAATTAGTCATTCCTAATTAATGCAATTCCAATACTGTTTATGGACCCCAGTCTCTAGAAATACTCAAATACACTAGGTGAAAATAACACATGCAAACTGCACAGTTTTTGCCCCAAACAGCATGGGATTAGCATTAAGTGGGCATGTCTGTAAAGGGGAGATTTGTGGATACTGTGAGAGCCCATTTTCATTCAGATATCTTATGGTCAGAGGTCAAGGGATCCCTTTGAAAAGGGCCATGCCAGTTTTTCAACCCACGATAGCCCGCCATGTATGATACCAGTATCTTCGCTCAAGCTTTAAACTTGAGCCAACCAAAGACAGTGTGGAGTGGAAGAGGGAAGGATAATGGGATCGGACTTGGGGTGGCCAGTGCCACCTCTCTGGAAACGCCTGTCAGCTCATGTAACATTACATAACTACTGCTAGAGTATTGTTTGTCCAGGAGATTATCAATATTTCGGTACTGGGCAGTCAGGCACCGGTTCAGCAGTTCTCGATACCACTCCTAATTTTAATTGGTAAATACTTGTTATTAACAGTTTGAGCATAACAGAAAACATGCATGGTTTAGTTAAATCTATTGAAATCAATCATACCAAAACTTAAAACACTATCAATTAGGAAGCTTAGATTAGCAGCTTCTCTGACTCTATATGGGGCCACAAGAGCTCAGTGTACAGAAACAGAGAAACAAGATGAAACAGAGACATTAATGGCATCATTTCACCAGAGAGAAATGATTACCTCATTTTCAAAATAACAAGAAATGCGAGTCTTCTAGAACTACCACTGACAATCTATTAGTTATGCCTATGTGGTTGACAGTAGAGTGGTAACATGTATCTGTAGTTTAGAAATTGGTCAGAAGTGGTTGTGAATGCACACTTTTAAGCAGAAAAAGAAAACGACAAATCAGACTCTATGTGTAGAGGTGCGTGTGCACATGGTGTGGTTATGCTTGGTTGACAAATGAGGCCGCGGGCTGCCATTAACTGTTCTCAGGTGATGCTTTTACCGAGCACAAATTACAGCGAGTTCAACAGGAGGACAACGCTTCAATTACTAGATCACAAACATTCACAAGAAACAAATAACAGGTCGTTTAAAGCCTTCGGTCTATCATCATGAAATGACCAGATAATGATGGTATAAGAGAGAAATGCTGGATTGAATAAGAAGCCAAGAAAACAGGCGGAACAGATGTGGAATGTAGTTATTAGCCCTGGGAAACAGCTTCATCAAAAATAAATTGCTGTTTTTGTCGTGGAGACCGACTAGCTCCAGGACAGTTGTCCTCTTGTGGGCTCTGACCCGTGGTTTGAACTTTAGAATAAATTTGGCTGTAGTGGGCGGCTCAATTCTAAGGCAGCAGAAGTCGAATGCAAGTTATGAAAAAATGAAACAAATACTAACAAGAAATGTCTTTTCTCTTCCAGACAGAACTGACGCTAATTAAAACTACTAATGGATCAAACTAAATCAACATGATTCCTGCATTTTTATTTATCAATTTCTATCGAACAAACCATTGTGCCAACCACAATGTCAATGGCTCATTTCATACATGAACAATTTCATACTCTGTCCATTTGTCCCTCACTCCCTCTGCACTGATGATGGCAAAGTGGCAGAGGCCGGTCTGTCAGAGCGGACCGCAGCCTTCCTGGTGAGTCCTGATTGAGGGTGGCATTTTGCTGGCACAATGAGAGCTGCCACTGCACTACGCTTCTCTGCTGGATCCAGCTAGACAGGCCCAGACGCTGCATGTCAGCTGTAATCCTCATTATGCAAATTAACTCACACCGAGTTAGGAGCTATCATTGCAGGTCAGATGGGAAAAGTAGCACGGACACAGAGAGAAGGAGTGAGGAGCGATGGAATCTGTTCGAGGGACAAACAGCCTCTTTTAGCAGACCAGACAGGGAGAGCTTTAAAGTGCAGGATGCTGCTCTTAGAAGAGAGTGCGGATGGAGAGAGAGAGAAGCAGCAGGGTGTGTGAGAGCAGCAATCCCATCATTCCCAGGGGGAGGAGGAACCCTCTCTGCCTGAAGACACACTCAAAAAAGGAAGAGAGCAGAAAGTTGAGGCTGCTCTAAAGAGAGAAGACAGACTCTGTCAGCCAGTGACTGACAGCCGCAAACCAGATGTTGGGCAGCAGATGGCACAGACTTCTTTAGAAAAGAGCATCTCACTAAACAGCTGGATGGATTTGCCTCCAGCTCTTGCCCGAATCTAAATCCCCGAATCTGAACCTAAAGTCACGCAGAGAAAGCTTTGCTCCAACTCCAATGTCACAACACAGAGGAATCACTTTACTGTATCCTGCGCAGTGCTCATATTTGCCATCCAAACTTGCAAAAGCTCATCGTGTCGACTACATAACAACTGATGACTGACATCCAAATCCACCACACGAAGAGTCCTGCAATACTGACCTCTGATGGCTTTATTTTGGATGTGGCATCCAAACAGATTTCTGGCGATATTGCGCTTGATCCTCTGACACCATTTTATCGCTAGAACTGAATCATTAAACTTAGGTAGTCTACACTGACTATCCACACCTGTTCATACCGATTCGATGCCCATTAGCAGCTCCGCAGCGCCCAACAGCACCGAGAGCATCTCGCCCAACAGAGCACATGTGCGCGGAGGTGAGGCGCGACAACAGGGCGCGATAACCAGCTTCAGCGCCCGTGCGTCATTTGGCCGTTTGAATGAAACGCAGAGAGGAAGAAAGTTTGATGACAACAGTCCTTACCTTCCTGTCCGGTGGGTGGACGGCGGGAGGTCAACGGTGCGTCGGAGCTCGCCGGAGCAGCTGCGCGTAAACATCTGAACACAACATGTCAGCAGCAGCGGACCGCGGAGGAGATATCGCCCCTGCTGTGAACCTGCTCACTGACAGCACCCAGCCACACCAACACTTACCATCGTCCTAACACTGACTCAACAGCTCTCCCCCTCCTGCCTCCTCTTCCCGCCCCTCTCCTCCTCGCGTCTCCTCCCCTCACTCACTCACTCACTCACCAGGGCGCATTAACGCAATCCATTAAACACCGCAAACTCCTGCGTTCTCAGTGCCAGCCGTCCGTCCACCGCCCGGAACTGACACCTACCGGCTCCTCAGCCTTTAACTTCAACATTTAAATGCACCCAGTGCTGCCTCCGTGCTGCCGGAGCCCCCGGGTTCAGGCTTTCCACCAGTATCACCAGGTAACTCCAGACTCACCTGCAGGGAAGGCTGCTGCCTCTAAAGGTGAGGGGCTTCCAAAAGCTGCACTGCTGCCCTCATGTGGATTGAGGGAACTCCCGATCCCCAATACAAACCACAAGAAACATGTTCACAGTCAGCCTACAGCGTAACGCCTTTACATTGCAGTTTAATTCCAGTCTTATTGTGTTTTTATTGTATTTCAAAAATGTAGATCACATAAAACACACCTCTTACGTGTGACACAATGCAGAAATCAGTGTATACACAAGATTTTAACAAATACCAGCAAAAGAAAACAGAAATGAATAAAATACAAACAAATAAATACTTTGTTATTTTTTCTAAAGGACACTGTATTCTGCCCTCAGGCTCAGACAGAAGTATATATGAATTCAGTAAGATGATAGTAATAATATAATATTTTGTTAAGTGATCTATAGATCTATAAAGGCTGGCTAACCATATTTTATAGAATTTATCCTCCTGTCTTTTGAATGAAAATCTTATTTTCTCTAATCGTGTGGCTCTTCTTGCCAGGCTTTCACATTTGATCACAGACTCTGTAAACTAGTTTATCTATTAAGATCTATAACAGTAAAACTGTCATTTCCACATTAATATCCTTTAAAATATTTTCTTCTTCTGCCACATTACAAATAACAGAATCTCTGAATATGTAAATGCTAACCTTCCTCACTGCAGGTCTGAAAACCTCCTCCTCCTATTTAGTTTTGTAATTTATAATATATAATTATTGTCTTAAGGTAAAATAGTTGCATAATGTTGCTTAAGCTTTGCGCCTTTAACTTGCCTATATAAGGCCATGGCTGGTACTCATTAGTACACTAGCAAATTTACTGTACTTAGGGTCATTTTCTGGATGTAGATTTGAGGTGGCAGGTGTCAAGAGGGGTTGTTTCTTCACTAGTGGCACAGTGCTGAAAGTGCTGGTCTGGCTATGCGAGACTACTTCACTAACTGCACTTGCTCAGAGTTAATGGGCCTATTCATGGCAGACATTTAGTCATTTCATAGAAGCAAATGGGTTTATTTAACAAAATGAATGATGTCTGGATGGCTGGCTCACTGGAATCTTTAATGTCACCTGTCATTTTCCTGCTATGGCACTTTAAAATGTCTGCCGAGACAAAAAGTCTATTGAACGCTCTGTGCTTGGAGTCTTTGTGCGCTGCCCTTTGGATTGTCGAGTCTCTGACTTTGTAAGGTAAAAAACCTAATTTCCATCTACATGATGGAAACAAATGGTAAACAGTAAAAGAAATGTTCAAAATTGGCTCTCCGTGGTGGAGTTCACAATGATAACACACCGAACAGTTACTCACTCACTAGTCTGACATGAGGGATAAAATATGCTATGATTCACACTTAAAGAACATGTGAGGAGAAGCAGGAGATACACTTATTTGCCTGTAATATTCTTAACTCTGCTCCGGAGTTAACACATGTTGGTCCAGTCTTATTTTAAATGAGTAAACAAGAGGAAAATTGCTGAATCGCAGTTACTGATAGTTACTGAGTAAGAAACAGGTTAAAAGGTGATGTTGTTTTAAACCTTAATGTGGCTGCAAATGTAGCAAAATGGTAAAGCTACAGCCGAGCTAACATTAACAGGTAGTTCGTTCTGGTGGACTCGTCAGTAAACTCTGATAGAGTAGGTCAGAAACAGAGATACAGAACTACCACAACAGGTTTGTTGTATAGACCAATTTACATAAATAACATTTCATAAGTGGAATAAGTTGGCCCAATACTAAATATGACGCTATTATGAGTTTCTTTATGCAACTCTGGGATTGCTATAAATACTAAACACTGACAGATCAAAGTAGAACATAACAGAACTAAACCAGAACAGAAGAGACTACAGGAAAAGATGAAACTATAAAATGTGCACATTTTATATTACACTTCCACAAAAAAAGCTGTTCTATATTCTAGTTCCCATTCTAGTCATATTGAATGACACTGCTGCACCATCTGCTTTGTCATCAAATGTTCAGTCAGTTGCCAGCAGCAGCACTATCATCTATCACAATCAGCCTGGGACAAACTCCAGACATGACTTGTCACATTAATGTGTCTGACCTCTGCCATAATGATGCAGCCAATTACACAAATGTTTCAGGAGAGTAGAATTACCTTATAAAACCTCACTTCAAACATTTCATTTTCAAGCCAAGCGTTGCATTTTAACCCCATGGCAAACTAGAGACAGGAAACATTTTATCTCACAAGACCCTCCCTTATCATTTGGTCTTCTGCTTCCACTCATTATTTCCACTTGAAGTAACTCCAGCTAGCTGCAGGGGTGCTGATAAATATGGTTGTGTAGAAGATAAGAATATTTGCTTTGAAACAGAATGAAGAGAAGTATTACAGACGTTTTTAATGTTCATTACAACACACCAAAGCAGACAAATGAATGTACTTACCCCCCTTTGACCTTAACACTCATACTTTCTTTAATTAATCCCCAGTGGACCTGACCTGGTCACACACACACAGCTATTTATCAATAACCTATTGATGATTTATAAATGAGCTGTATCAAAAATGTTTAATAAAGCCATGTGTTGGCTCCTCAACAGTGTGTCCTCATTGATCACATTGTGACATTCTTCACGGTGTCACAGCAGCGAGGGTCAAATCAATTGAACTTGTGTCTCTAACATACCAATAATCATGATTAACTTGTTATGTGCCAACAGTAAATTACATTATGCAAAACACCAGACACTAACAAAATATACAGGTTTATTTAACATTGAATGGCAATTTTTAACATCAGAAAAATAAAAATAAATGTTTTCTAAGTGTCTTTAATGCACGACAGCATCAGTTTCAGTTTGCAAAACCTTACCTCACCACAAAATGCTGTTCTTCCATACAAAGTGCAATATAACATGCTCAGTCCTCCACTTCCACTTTATATAAGCTGAGTTATGATTAGTTTTGGTACTTTGTACCAAGCCTACAGATTATTGAATCTATGTAACGTGTTTGTAAGCATCTCTCCTTTCTTTTCAGAAATACAGTTTTACTGTAGTTTTCTGTATTTTAGATGCACAAACTTATACTAAGTAATGAAAATATCTAAGATTTTGTGTCTTAAATATATAACAAACTGTGGTCGCAGAACAGGAAAAGTAAACTGATCTAGTGAAGTAATCATTTTGCCTTGTATGAATATAGAATGTACTGTATGTAAAGTTTATATTTACTGTAGTATAACATACAATAAATAAATCCTTTCAATTACTATACATTGCATATCATTTGCTATATGTATAATCTCCAATGTTTGACAGCATTATATCACAATGCTAGTTTTACTTTAAAATGCAGCAATGATTAAAATTCACTGATAAACATATACAATGCTGCAATGCTCCTATAAACCTGTGCATGATGGAGTAGAGCATTTTGTGTTGAAGGTCCAGTGTGTAACATTTAGGAGGATCTATTGTCAGAAATGGAAGATAATACTCATAGGTATGTTTTCATTACTGCATAATCACAACAACTGTTGTGTTTTTGAGCTGTTTATCTACAGAGGGAGCGGGTCCTCTTCTATGGAGGCCGCCATGTTGAACCGCCATGCTCTAGATAGGATAGGGCCTGTCGCATTATTCACGAGTTTCACTGCCACCGTTATTTCTCCTACACACTTCACAGCCCATTCTAATTCGCGGGTCATAAAATAGAGATGCGAGCGGTGTTCAGTTAGTTGCAATCTGTAGCTTCACCGCTGGATGCATCTAAATCCTACACACTGGTTCTTTAAGGGTTTTGCAAATTGAAACTCCACCACCAACAAAGCTTTCCATCCCACCTTTGTCTTTGCACTTTTCATTGTACTCTCTTTGCATGTTCATTATTACTGAAAAAAATATTGCCGTTTTCATTCCACTCTTCCCAGTGGTTCTCAGAAACCTGCATTTAAGTATTTTTCTTTCGATTATTGATACCATTTGCATTAAAAATCTTCACGGAAGCTTAACAATAAATATATCAAACCATCAAAGCGAAAACTACCATTGTTTCCACACATTTAACTTATTAAATAAATGTTTCACACAGGGTGCTTTCAAATAATAAAAACTATAGTAAACAATTCTGTGCAAACGCATCCCAAAGCCACGTTAAACCTTATGATATGTCTCAGTGCTTCAAGATATTACTTTGTATAATAAATCTATAATAAAGCCCTGACAGATGTTTCATGGATATGGATTACTCTTACCTGATAATATCAGGAAATGTTTTATGAATTTAATATTGTGGCTTTTGAAATTCTTACTAGCAATATAGTCACTTTAAAAAGTATTTAAAAGTCACTTTCTGATTACTTTGCCTTCCTAATGTGTTTACAGTGCGCTCTGAGGTATCAGCCTAAAGTTACACAGCCATACTCATACATCAGATTCTTTTTCAGTCATCTGGAAAGATTCAAGTATCACCTTTGAGTTCTGGGTGGATGTAAACAATGCAGACAAAGCCAACAATGGAAGTTAAAGTACATTTCTGTAAACTAAAGGGCGAAGCTACATGAAGTGTTACACCCTGAGGATGACGAAGGAAGAGCCGAGCAAAATCCTGGTGGATTCTACTCACTACACAACTAACAAAACACTTGAAGGGTTTTTCACCGTATCTGACCCCAATTATGCTGTCTGACAAATTTTAGAGAGTTAGGGCAATTATCCTGTGGTGTGATTAGTCACAGAGCCTTTGCTGCAATCAAAGAGTCTGGCCTGGCCACTTTACTGCTTAATTAGGTCAAAAACTCTTTTTGTGGCGGTTCGCCTTAGGAGAGCAGACACTATTTGTAAAGTGCTCTTTGTATAAGCTTTTACTGCTGTCCTGGAGTAGATAAAGTGTGCGTTATTTATATGACTTATTGTCTAGCTGCCAAACCTCTAAATCTTTCTCAAGTGCATTTAGTTTGTCCTTCTGGAAAGTTTATTTGATCTTAAGATAATAACTGTGTTCCTTCCTCATCTGCATATTTATTCATGTGACTTTCCTCCATATGTAAACTTCCTCCATTTGTTGTTTAATGACCTCCAGTCTTTCAGTTAATCATCAAACTCAGCGTAGGTGTCCCTACCACGTCTACTGTGTCTGCATCCTCTGTCAGTGCTTTTGTCTCTGGGTTAATGGAACCCTAAGCTTGAGGTTGTCACATAAAGACAAACAGACATACAGGGAGGGAGGTTGAACTGCTCTAGCCTGCCCCCTGCTGGAGATTCCTGTCATAGTTTTCCAGGCAGATGTGGATGCGCTGAGTGAAGTAGCTCGGGTCAGAAATGGCCCGGAGGAGGTCGTTCTGGACCAGTGTGATGTCATAGAGCTCAGAGGTGCAGGCTGTACGAGTCTCAGCGCTACCTGGGTCCAAGAACACCTGAGAGACACACATGCACACAAAGAGGAAAGGGAGAAACCAGAGGAAAGAGGGGTGGGGGGAGTCATGTTAGCTTTCAGTAGCCCTGAACCAGCAACAGTCTCCCCAACACATCTGTGGGGCTACTTTATTCAGACTGAGTCAAATTAAGGGGAATAACTGCATTAATACTGTCTCTGACAAAGCCCAAAAAAACATAATCGTATCTAGAGACCAGAGCATAAACAGCTCACTGTCAAGAGATAAATACACACACAGTCGAGAATGTAAGCAAAACTGGATCATACATTACACTGAATGCATGTTGGGAGGAGGTGGTCTGACATGTTAACCATCACTTTATATAAAGACGCTAAAGGTAACTTATTTTCTTCTTTAAAGCAAGTCTAGAACATAACTGCACAGAGTAAAACTAACTTGATATACATTGTTGCATCAGAATGTGTTTGCTCTGCAAGGAGACGAGAGAAACCCTATGGTCAGCTGTTTATGTGAGGAAGAGCCACGCCCTGTTCAAGTGGAAAACAACTTCACATGATGGACACAAAAATGTTTTACTCCTGCAGCTGATTGCTCCGGAGTTCACTGAAGAACACGAGAAAAAAATTCAACTGCCTGTTAGCATTTTCCAAAAACAAAGAAGCTTAATGAATAATTCATACAGCAGGGAGAGAGAGGGCGGGCGGGGGATCAGAAACCCTTGCATGTACAATGTTCACTTATTAAAGAACAAGTTGCTAGTTTAATTATCAGTTTGTAACAAGTGATCATGACCTGATCTATGGCTATTTGAGATGTCATCTGTGCTGCTAATATCTCCTGCCAACAGTCTTCCTGAGTGGGAGACAGTGTGCTCTCACTGCATGGCACTGAAGCATGTTTGCATATTTATCTTTTCAACACCCAGATCTCCACAGCTGAATCATCTACACAGTGGAGAAAATTAGGAAAAGGAAAACACCACTCATTATTTGTCCAATATAGAAACCACCTTAAAGGTTCTATATGTAACTTACATTTTTTTTGTTAATAATGACACTAGTGGCCGTACACCGTCCGTAGGCACAAGCTAGCATCATCCTGGGCATTGGCCAACAGTGACACTCAGACTGAACGCTGAACATTTTTAATAAGGTTACTGCCTTATGTCGTTCTTGGCTAGTGGAAAGCAATCATTTGCTTTGTACCGTTATATTGTAATAATAATTTATTGTTGGCTAAAATCACCATTTGTCATAATACATAAGTTAGGATCATGTTAGCTGGTGAAGTCATTTTGCAAGCTAGCCAAATAACATAGCCACCCCTTCAGTATTTTGCTAGTGATAATAAGGTTAGCCAGCTGTAACCCGGCCACACTGAATAACGTCATCCAGCACCAGCTGCTCTGCAAAGCCACCCGAAAAAGTAACCTGCCAACAGCCAGCCAGATCAGCCCACGGGAATCAGGATGAAGCGAACTCACGTTTTCAACTCAAGACAGTGATTTGTGACGTTAGCTAGCTAGCAATTCATCCGTCTTAGCTAGCAAGCAAGCAATGTTAGCCATTTTTTCCTTTTGTGTTGGACTATGTTGTGGTGGGTGCCGGTAGTCTGTAAACATTAGCTAGTGTTACACGCTGTTGCCACTGTACGGAAGCGAAGAGAGAAGGCACTCGAGAGCACGCACACGTTACAACCTTTGGACTCTGAGAAAATCTGATCTGAATCTTGTACAAAGAGATCAGTCCACAGGTTGTTCTAGACAACCGAGAAAGTCTTTTAACTTTAACACCAACAACCCATTCACAAATTGGCAATAAAAATGATTAATACATAAAATTAACATGTGAAATGTGTCAGTATCTTTACAATCCGTATCATCGGAATAGTGGGTGGTGTATTTATGTTGATGTAAAAGATGTGACAGTACCTTGGGATGAACTATGGTATCCTCGTCATTCTGGCGTATGTTGTCGTCTATGAAGATGTGCTGAACATTTTGGTCAAAGGGGTCGACCCACAATGGCTTCCCACCACGAATGGAGAAGGTATTACTAGCCCACCTGGACAAGAAACACAGGCACAGAAAGATTTGGAAATGGATGGCTGAAGGGATAGAGACTACAAAACCCACATTAACGGTGCCTTGAGGAATGTTATTATGTGTACCAGTCAAAGTGGTCCTGAAAGCCTCCCAGACCCTGGACTGAGCTCAAGTACTGGTACAGGCCTCTTTCTCCATCCCGAGTCGTCACTCGGTCCTCAGCTCGGCTCAGGACGATTCCCCTCTTGCTGCAGCGGATTTTGCCCGCGGTCATATTCACACTTAACTGAGCAGAGAGGGACAAGAGGAGTCAGAGTCAGAGAGAAATAAAGAAAGGACCACTCTGAATCCTGTGGTAAGCACAAAAACCTAAAGAAACTTCTTTGAAATGATTTTGTTATAATAACATGGCCTCTGGCAGACGTGACCTAAATTAACTGTGATATCAGCATTTTACTTTCTCAGACATTTAAAAAAAAGTCTGTGTCAGCTACATAAAAATCAACTCAACCAGCCTGTAGCTTTATAATCAACAGTGTGGATACTTTACAGATAATGACCACAAAACAGCATGGAAAAGAGAAATGGCTCTGGACTTGATTGTGTCATGGCAGAGTTTAAAAATGGAAAAAAGAGTTTTAACTGAATAAGATAACCAAAATATAAAAAAGTGTTATCAGCTGTTCATCAGTTATTTAAAACAATAAAGAAATGTTTTTAGCCATGCTAGTGGTGTGGCTTGATACATACATTCATGTCACAGGGAGAACTGATAATTGTCACTAAGGTTTTTAGCCAGCTTCATCATCAGTTCAAAATCTTCTTTTTATTCAAAACTTTGGTTTATGATCACCCGAGCCACAGCCACCGCTGTGTTTAGTTAGCCAGCTAGCATGCTAATACCAGTATGTTTAACTAGGTAAAGATAAAGTAAAGGTAAAGATCACTAGCCTAAAAATGAGCATGTTGACATTGTCATTGTGGGCATGTTGGCACACTGACATTAGCATTTAGCTCAAACCAGCCTCACAGAGCTGCTAGGTTTGCTAAACTCACATTGCTACATCCGATCCACTCGTTAGCATATGCTATGTTTCTAAAGAATGCTAAGAACAGATGTCTCTCCCACAAATAGCTGAACTCCCCTCCAACAGTATGAAATACCTGGAAATAAAAGGTGAACTGTTCATCTCCTGTCTCATGTTCATCTTTTGATGTCAAACCCAAATGTTTTCAGTCTACAGCAAAAAGAAAGGAGTTGGCCTCACTGTTCCAATACATCATCATCTTCATCATCATTATGTACGTAACTTACTACCATGTTTTGTTCTTACTGAATACAGCAGGAGAGCAAACATGGTAAGAAGGTTATTCCAGTAGTCCACATCCATAGTGGTTTTCACATTGAGTCACACACTGAGGAATGACATGTTGTCCATTTATAGTGATGTGATTTAATAGTGCTGTCATTAAGGTCAGAAAGCTTGAACCATAATGTTGTGCATTTGAATAAAAACCTAACATGGCAAGATTTATTGAAATGAAAAGCGTTCTGTAAGTGGTGTGCTTATTCTTGGTGGTGGCGGAGGGCTGTTACTGTGATACAACTTCAGTACATGGACACTAACACCCCGAGCATATTAGCATAGAGCCAGTGATCTCTTAGCATTAATGGTCAATTAACGGATAACATCAAGATTAAATCCACTTCTTTAATTAGCCGTGTTTTCCACGCTGCACCTATCTAAGACTTGACAACAATATTAAAGCCACTGAGCCCAAAAACTGACTGAGGCAGGAGTTCAGGAAGTGTACAATCACATTATGTCCTGTGGCTGAGTTCCCCCCTGCTCTTTGTGTCTAAAGGCTCAGATGAATAGCATCTGACAGCAGACTGTTTGGATAAGATTTCCACTGTGCTCTCCTACAGACAGTGCCTGGCAGGTTTACTTTCTGACATCTTTTCCACCTCTCCCCCGTCATCTGCCCATTCCACTCTCCATATTCTCTCAAAATCAATGTGTTCCACTCCAGCAAGCTAACAGGTACAAAACACTCCTTCCTTGCAATTTGTTCGTATTCTTCTAAGACTTTTTGATTGTATTTGAGTTAAATAAAAAATGCTTGACTTACTTAAGCATGTGTTTGGAGGTGTTGCTGTAAACTCAGACAGCGTATGTAACTGGGCTATATAAGTAAATGAGACATTACCTAACCCAGCTGAAATAACCCCAGACTATCAGCTTTGCCTGCTAGCACTAAAGATAAAAAGGTGTATATAATGTGTAATAATGTGGGTGACTAGACCCTTTAACCTAAAAGAATAAATATTGTATTCCACAGACAGTGACTGGAATGTCTCACATTAACTAAACGTAATGAAGAAGTGTGATTCTGCTTCACCTTGAGATCAGACAGATCAGGGAACAGTGGATGAGCCCCTTCATTCAGTGCTCTGTATACAGCCCTCAGCACACGAGGTAGGTCGTTTCCAAACGTGCGAAAGAGGATGGCGAACTCCCTTCCTTCCTGCTCCAGGTCTTTGAGCAGCTGGAAGAAGGAGGGCAGGATCCAGTGGTACAGTTGGCCATTCTCTCCTTTAACAGCCAGCTCTCTGTCTCCCTGCAGGGAACACAGTCAGGGAACAGTCAGTAACACATCATCAGGGATCAAGTAGGCTCCATAGGTTCCAACAATTTCAGGAAATCTTTATTTTTATTCAGAAGCTTTCTCAACTTTTTTTCAGAAGCATGACCTGAACATAGAGTAGAGTCTGCTTGACTGAAAAAGACTGAAAACCTTCAGAATATTCCATCTGCTTGAGCTACAAATTAGGCATCTACAAGCTGCACCTGAAACTGAGTACACTCTAAGAGTTCCTCTGGAGGAGAACTTGTAAACCTCTGATATGTGTCACCAGATATTTTGCAGGTGAGGCAGACAAATGAATGTGGTTTGTCTTGCACAGCGAGCTCTAGTATGTCAGTGTGTGATCTTCATGTACAATTTAAATTAGAGGTTCAAATTGGATAAGTACTTACTGTATAAAACAGGGTTTCTCCAGGTTTCAACAGCTTAAATTAAAGAACTTGTAAGACCTTTTTAATAGGGCTATCCAAATCGCTGATAAAGGTATAATGTGTGAAAAAAACAGCATTATAAGGAAGATGAGTAGTGCTGCAGAGATATCCTGGCCTATAAATCTTGTTCAACAAATTTCCCATCATCATGATTTCAATTTGACACAAAAATGATAATTCCCAAACTAAATCATGAATCATATCGTAATAGCAATATCTTACTGTCAAAGTAATCGCAATATGATGTTTTTACCATATCGTGTTCCATGGATATATAGGAAAATCACAGTCCCAGAAGTACTTGCAAAGGGTTAGGGTTAGGTTTCTGACTTCCAATGCAACTCCAACGCCTTTCCTAATTCCCTAATTTTCTTGCACAATGTGCAGAAGGCTTCAAATTTGTCATTGTCAACAGGCTTCAACCAAGCACTAAATATGCTGTTCTCAAGAACACTGAACTTGCATTTACCCATATTAAATGAAAGTAATGCTAAAAGAAACCCTTTTAACCTACTACTTCAGTTTGTATTAGTGGTTCCATTTGGGGTTTTTTTGTAGAACAGCATGATCAATGCAAATTTTCCCAAACAATTTAAAAGTGAGGCTGAAATTAATGCAACTTTCTTAAGACATTTTAAGGCCTACATTTCAGATTATAGGATTTTAGACTTCTTAAGGACCCGCAGAAACCCTGAAAAACCTAAATTACAGACGGACTACTTAAAACTTATCAACGCCAAAATCCTCAAGGTCTCTGGAAGAAATAAAGGCTTGGAAAGGACTCAGAAGGTCTACAACCTTTGTAATAACTTCCTGGGAGTGGAAGCATCATGAGTAATAGAGAGAAATACCAGCCAAAGCATTCTTTAATTTGACTGTTTAAATCATTTTTTTGTTAGTTGTTAGTCTGATAAGGCAAATGTTACGTGTGAAAAGATCCTGTTTGAAGAATTATAAGAGTTATAACAGTTATTGAAGAGTTATACCTCTGTTTAATTCATTTATGTCGCACTTCATTCCTGCCAGTGTCACTGTTTTGTCATTAGTGCATTGTATATACAAGATGTATCACCAGAATCTAAATATAAAAAGTAATAGTGACCAGAGGGGAATGATGTCTAACATGGGCCTAGTAGAACTTTATAAATCTAACTTTATCTAGACACTTTCCACCTGGCCTTCTCATTCATTCTCTCCTATGTGAAGCTTGCCTTTACGCCCTCGGGCCAGCGGAGCAGGTTCAGATGCTCATCCAGAACCCCACGGAAACGTCGTCCCGCTGCCGAGGTGAAACCTGGTACCCGTCCAAACTGAGAGTAGTAACTGACAGCATCGCTGCACGGCGGGAGCAGGGAGGGCGAGTCACACAGCCATTCCCACTGTCCTGCATAAAGGGAGGAGGACATGGTTTTTGTGAATGATCTGAAAGGTAGACACACTAAACAACTTATCACAGAATGAGAGGAGGATGCTGGTGCAGTAAGCTGGTGAGACCTGACTCTGAAGGGCGTTCTGAAGCTCTCTGGTTTTTTTATATCCCTTGCTATGAAATAAAAATGCAGTAGGGGATTCATGAGTCAATTTCTCATCTCTCAGGACTTTGAGACAGTTGTACACATGTCAACATTTCGTGCAAACGTGGTGAGGTCTTGTCACACTAAAACATGTGACTGTGGATGTTGGAAGATTTGAATATGCTCCCACAAACAGATCAATAAATGGCTATATTAATGGGTCCAGACCATATTCTGACAAATGTTGATTTAATGTTCACTTCCATATTAGCACAATGAGAACATGATAAAATATTACCATAGACCTTTGGGCTGGTTTTATTATTGGTGACCTGCTATTCGGCAGAAGTGTGATTATAAGGAAACATCTCAATTTGTATGAGCGGTTTACAGCTAGATGAACAGCTTTTTAAATGGAATTCAGCGTGTTCTTTTAATGCCACAGGAACAATAACTTCACTGTATCACCTGACTGAGCGCTCACACACACACACACACACACACACACACACACACACACACACACACATTTCCCGTTTACCGTGTTTGCTCATCTTTCCCCAGGTGACCGTTGTGAGGAAATAGTCCAGAGCCGCCACCGTCCCCTGACCCGTCACAGCGTCCGACACCAGTATGGTGTTGTTGAGGTCGACATGGAGGACTAACTTTTTCCTCTGGACAGAATTTGAGGACCACAGCCCCCGAGGGACTGTCACCGCGGGGTCACCTGTCCCACACAGAGGCTCGGGGACATCTCTGCTGTTTGTCCCGTCCTGTTCCTCAGCTCGGCGGCCGCTGTTTTCGCCGAAGTCCGCCATGAGTGCGATACAAATGACGACTGGCCCTGGTTTTGAAAACGTTTCAACTAAAAGTTGCTATCTAACCGGCTCAGCTGTGTGACTCATGCTTATTTACCGGTACTTCCTCGTGCTCCAGGCCATCTCCTCCTCCTCCTCCTTCTTCTTCTTCTTCTTCCACGCTACACACTACCAGACGGAGGAAAGAGCGCCATCTCCCGGTGCTGTAAAACATTATGAGAGTACATTGAGGTGACATGGAGCTTCATGCACTATTACAGTAATACAAGTTTGGTTGATAACCAACCTTATAAACTAGCTATTTTTCACAAGATATGAGAACAAACAGGCTTTACTTCAGTAAAAGTAGCCTTATTTTACTTTAATAAAAGTACAAAAGTATTAAGAATATGATCAAAATATGTAGGTACCAAAAGTAAAAGGTAAAAGTACTCATTATGCAGAATGGCCCATTTGTATTGTAATATTTGGGATTGAAATCATTGATAGATTGATCTATGTATCACTTTAATGCTGCAGCTGGGCTCATTTTAATTACTTTGTATACTGCTGTGTAGCTTAAGCTATACAAATATATATCATTTTATTTGTTGTTAATATTTTGTATTGATAATCTGAATCTACAAATTTACTAAATTGATAAAACTGAATAAATGTAGTTAAGTAAAAAGTACAGATGTAGTGGAGTGCAGAAGTAAAGTACCTCAGAACTGTATACTTTTAATTTCCACCAGTGAAAGAAGATGCTCAGTTTAAACACAAACACTGTTTATCTAGGAATGGCCACTGAAAGCATTTTTGAATGAAGATGGGTTAATTCTGTGTAGTTGTTAGAGCTATCTCTTACCTCGAAGGTGATGCTGGTAATGTTGTATGGAAGTTTGAAAACAATGAATAGGAATTTTCTTAATTGAACCCTTTAAAACTTCCATGTACATAAAATCTAATTGCCAGATAGAAAACCCAACAGTACTCTCAATGATATTCCACTGGTTATGTTAGTGAAGTTGTAAAATAAAAAAGAAAAGATCACAATCATATATATTATTCGAGATTTTTGACTCAACTACTACTACTTTATCTATCTCCTTCTGCATATTATTTTTAAAGTCTAATGCCTTTAACTTTCATTTATTTCATTTCAATAATCAATTACAGTCATTTTGAATATGCCCATATAGTCCTGAGACAAGGCTGGATCAGCCCACAAAGCAGCCCTGGGGCAAACATGAACTGTTGGCCACAGCCACTAAGATTAAAGGTGCAGTAGGTAACTTTTATAAAAAATAACGTTTTCAGATTTGCTGAAAGTTAAAATAGTTCAAAATGGCCATCACAAGGTCCACAGCCAAAGGGCAGGTCTTCAAATTGATGGTTTTGGCTCATATGACTATTTATTATTGTTTACATGACATGAACCTAGACAAAAACCTTGTTGTTGTTGTTGTTGTTGTTAGGTTTAACACACTAACTGAATCGTTTATCATGACTAATATACCAAAAAAAACCCACTAATGTCAGCAGTTCCCAAAATTGTTTTTATTTATATTAACCATTTATATGTATCCACAGCAGTATTCTTAATGATCCCCACTTTATATACGCGGCCCATTACAAAGGAAGGGAGGGGGTGAGACTGGACAAATCACGCAAAACTGAAATAATTAAATGTAGCAAAGTTTAGGGGGGAAGGGGGTATTTAACAAGGGCTGGGGTTACAGCCTATATGAACATGCAATCATGCACATTTCAGTTTATACTGAAGCTTTTGACAATTGCATCCACAGGATCGAATATCTAAACAAAACAAGTACAAAATAAAAAGGAGAAAAATAATAAGAATACACTACAGCAACAGAAGTCAAAATGATGTTTATAAAGCGACAAAAGACAGAAAAAGCATGTGCCCTCTGTATTAAAAAAAGTAGCAGGTCAGCACCCGTCCCACATTTTTCCTCTTTACATCAGTTGCTACAATTCATAACCAAGTTACAGAACAGCCTGCCACAAACAAACCAGGGAATACCTCAAAAAAACAACAAAAAGATAAAAGGATTTACACACATTACAACAATCTTCACTCAAACTCCCCACATATACCCTAATAATCCACCGTAACTGTAGCCAGGGATTACTGGGTTGGGTCAAGGTTAGCAGTGAGGTTTTGAGCTTGAAACCAGACCACAAGGTGCGTTGGTGCATGGAGGCCTGGCAGGCACTCCACTGAAGTCTGCAGCTTATGAGCTGCTAACAGGAGCTCAGATCACAGAAGTGGATCAGCTTCTGTGTGTATATGTAGACTATATGCACTAAATGAATATAACTACATGTACAGACTGTTAAGGGTTTATCAGTGGGTAAGTATATTAATGTGAGTATATCAGTGATGTGTGTCTAGTTAGTACACATCTACATGTGCATCTGAAGGTCTTTCACAAGTGAGTGCAGTGGAGTCCTCAAAGACCACCTCCAGATCTTCTAGCATTGCGGCGTTATGTTGACATGGGATTCAGACGCCTGTGTAATGAATGAGCACTGATGTGTCTTTAGCTGAAGAGCAGCTTCCTCTCCCTGGATCACCAGCTCTGTTTTGGATTTCCTTTAGTCCTAGTCCACCTCCTCCATGTTGCTGTAGGATGGCGCCGCGCACTCCCCAGAGTGGGCGAAGAGGTCTGAGGGAACCTCTGGGGTCAATGTAGGTGGCCCTTCAGGATCCAGGTCTGTCCCAAATAGTGACTGGCTAGCGGCCTGTAAAATAAACCAGTGTTAACAATAAATCATGCTGGTTTAGTATTCTGGGAGTTTTAAAATGTTCTGAGGCTGTCACATGACTGAACTTATAAATAATTTACTTAAAGACTATAAACAGATGATGAGATTTTATTTCCAAAAGGTGTACAATGCTTTATAGATCAGAAAGCAGCATTTAGATGGAGGTATCAAGATACATTATTGCAGAGAAATTAAAATAGGTTATGATTTTCTTTTAAAATACAGTACTTGCATAATATTAACAACTCAGTGACTCAAAGTATATTACAGACATTTCATTACAAAATACAAGTCAGGATTATTCTTTCCAAAGGACCCTTTTTAAGTCCCGCCCCTATTTGCTCTGTGCTCCAATAACTAGCTAGTGTTTTCTACAGAGCAATTAGCTAGCTAACTAGTTAGCTAATTAACATGAATTGTTAGCTTACTTATTCAATTTCCTTGAGGGAGTCATCCCAAAGGGATCAATAAAGTCTTACTACTTACATCTGATAGCTAATGTTAGCAAAATGCTAGCGAACTAGTCAAGTTAAACAAATGCGTTTGCTAGCTAGTTAGGCAGTGTTTGCTAGAATTAGCTTAAGATGTGACTATCTGTTGCTTTAATCATTAAACCATCTTCAAAATGTGGTTGTCTGTTCAACGTAGACGAGCCTAGCACATAGCATATCTCAGTAGAGGAAAGGAGAACGTTGACAGAGGCCTTCTTAGCTGTTAGAGGAGCACAGAGTAGAAAGGGGTGGGGCTTAGGAATTAACTGTACTAATAATTCATTTTAGAGTACCCACAAACATAAACATATTACATCCTTCAGTCAGGTTCATTTAAAATCAATTCAAAAAATCCAACAGCATTTATAGGTTTAAAAACAGTGCAGTTTGTGCTGAAACCCCCTTCAAGTTGAACCTCAACTGTCTAGAGGAGTTTAACATCCATTGATCCCACTACTGCGGTTTACGTTGGGTACTGGTAAACTTCACACAACTCCACATAGTAATGTATGCACAAGCTATACCTTCTAGGGAATTAAAAGTGGACAGACTTCCGTCTTGCATATATCTGGGTCAAGTACGCACTCTGAGCTCTGCTGAGCATTTAAGGCAAACATGGGCCACTGTACACTGCCTCCATACCAGGGGAGCTGTGGGCACACACACACACACACACACACACACACACACACACACACACACACACACACACACACACACACACACACACACACACACACACACACACACACACACACACACACACACACACACACACACACACACACACACACACACACACACACACACACACACACACACACACACACTCTGTGGACAGTTTGGAAAAGACTTTAAAAAGTTAAAAACCCTTCATATTTTAACTACTGATCATGATCCACTAAAAAAAATCATCCAGAATTTTTAAGCTGTTGTATGTGATAAAGATTTGGAGATTTTTTTAACTTAATGAATACAATCTGAATGTTTAATGAAGAGAATATCAAAATACTCTGCATGTGACAGGTGGAACTGAACTGAAGTTAAATGTTCATTTCAACTTGAATGTTTTCCAAAACTGTCCATAATCAGTACTCCGCTCAGCTTTCCACTGAAAACAGTGTTAACACATTGAAAAACATTACATTCAGAGGTGGACGGTAGTTCCTTAATAACTGCAAACTCATAGTTTACCTTGGCTGTGACAAGACTGCATGTCATCTTGTTTAGTAGAATTTTACAGAAGACAGAGCAACATGTTTATATTTCATCCTGAGAATTGAGACCATTACCTGTCTATGGCTTAAAAATATTAGGTACAAAGCAACTAAAACATAAAAAACGACAAATCAAATATTAGGGAAAATAAAACAATGACAGCAAACTACAGTACATATTGCTGAAGGAAGCCATTTAAAAAAACATGATGGTGGATGGACACAAACAAATTAATTAAGGCCCATTAATCAATTTGACATAAAAAAGGCCATTGGTCACACAAAAAAATAGAGCGTTCTCTTTACTTCATGATCTATCTTTAAAAATGAGTCACTGTTGAAGTGTCTCTTCTCACTCATTCTCAATTCATCTGTTTGCATTCATACTGCAGGAATTTGCAATCTTATTATCTGAAGTGTAGTGCAATAAAAACAAAAGTAGGCCTTCAACAGCAGCTCTAGTTTCTCTTCCTCTTTCTTTTTGTACTAGAAACATTTTGTCAGAAATATCAGCTCAGAGGCATTCAATACATTACTGTACCACTATATAGTTTCTTTGTGAGGAAAAAAAATACCCTCAACAAAAAAGGTCAGCTTACTAGCTTTATCCAGAACTTTTGACAACATAGATCTGTCTTCCTGCCCTTTTTTTCTCCCAAACTGAAGAATGAACTTCCATGCTCAACTATAAGCTCCAGGATGGAATATTAGTGAAGGTGATTAAAGGCAGAATGAGTAGGATTTTCCTAATAAAAACAACAATGCATAGAGTCATACAAAAATAATCACTATTACTCCCTTATGACCCACTACCAGTGCATGGTGATGTCCCTATCTGCAGAGACCCTGCCCTCTGCCTGTAGTTTATTTAGGCAGCAGGTGTGTGACCCAGTAGGGCGGGTTATAAAGTAGTAGTGACCAGGTGCCAGATCGTAAGCACACATCCAAGAGGAGACACTGAGCTGCGGCGAAAGTTAAATGTTGTTTTTACAAACCACAACTGACAAATCCTACTCATTCTGCGTTTAAGGCTGTCAGAGCTCATCGTCCGAACTATTTTCAAAAATGGGACATACAACAAACACACATACACGGGAAGAAAGAGTCAATACAATGCATAGAGGCAATGTAGTGTATAGTGAACACCCAATATACCGGCACTGTATGCTGATAGTAACACTCTACTGGAGCTTTTAAGGTTTTCTTATGGTGACAGGGACATTTCATGTGTGGAGTAGTGCCACAAGTATTTTAAAGGGATGAGCCATGTAAAGTTGTACATACACTTCAAGTGTTGGGCAGGATGGAGAACCATTTTACTAGCTGAAGACCAATGGGTCTCAAGAGGAGTGATTAAGTCTAAAACTTCCTCTTCCCAGGTTTCCTGTCAAACCGACCTATTTTTATATTTCTGAAGCAAGCCAGTATCTAGCCACTGCTCAGGTCCAGTTTGTAAAGGAGAGGGTAGACCAAATTGACGAGCAGAGCAAACACGGCTGCCAGGGTGCCAAGAACAAAGTAACGCACGCAGTCATCGTCGGGATAGTCCGACATCCTCCGCCTGCCGTGCCGTCGTACCGACCCGTCGGTTCTGTTTTCATCTTCCTCATCTCTGTTCCTCGACGTTTGTCCCCTCCGCAGCGCAGATCGGAAAAGTCCAGGAGGGCCTTCGTCCAGGCCCTCCTCTTCTTCCTCCAGTTCCCGCCATATCAGAGAGGCCTGCGATTGGCGGAAACCGGTGTCAGCTTCTGGGAAAAGGCGTGGTCTAACAAATACTATGATTACAACTGGAAACATTTAGTGGATCTACCTCGCAGTTTCAGATCAACCATGGTAATTAAAGAGATTTGCAAAGAGCTAATGACTCTCTGTTGGTAGTTTAGGGACAAACTGGGGCCGTTTATGAGGCTCGTTTTTCAGAAATCAGATAGTTAAGTGTGGAGGAAATTTACACGATTTAAAAGTAAACACAGTTGATTAAATAAAAAGCACATCTTAGCTATTTTCCTCAAGCCCTTTCCTGCCAAACCCCATGGTAAGAACTGTAGGTTTTACCCATTTACCAACATGGTACATATCACAACAAAAAGTTAAGGCAAATGGTTTAGGTTGACTTCCTACTCAAAAACATTCCCTGCAAATCTGATATAAAAGTTAATAAGCTTGTAAAAGAATGGAAAAGAGTTTTTTGTCTTTGTGTATGTATGGTTTAACAGGAGAACCATTCATCCCATAAGATCACACAGTCTTATTATCAGCATCACAAGGTTACACCTGACAACCTATGTGATAAAATTAGTATAAACATAACACAACATTTGTTTAATTTCTGTAGAGAGGAAAATCTCATCTGGATACAGAAACTAAAGTGCATCTTCAGAGAGGCAGTAAGAAGGGACAACAGCAGTGAAATAAATCATTCCCTGCTGAACTTCTCCAGAGCATTCACAACTCTCTCTCAGCCTCATCAGTAGAACAGAAATCATTATATCCCATCAAGTTAAAGCAGTTCACTCCACCGAAGCTACATAAAGATGAAATGTCACAAGATGCTAATGCTGCCCGACAGCTGAGCTTAACAGACCATCTCAGTGATGGATCTTTCCATTATGAACCCACTGGGCTGAGGTTATTAAGCATCTCACATCAGGAGCTCTTGTCAGGACTAATTGAAAAGAGGTATTGGTACTCAGAGACACACAGGCTCACATAGGACCTGCTATACTGCTAATTCCTGATGAGTAGCTGACACATTACAACAACAATGCCTGATACCTGGAATCATTTTCCATCATAGTAGACACAATCTGAATCTATATCATGTAGAATAAACACATGTGATGTATCGGCAAACTTTCTCCTATTTTATGTGAATTTCCACTGGTGAGCAACACATTTGTTATACACCCTCCATTTAACCCTGGACTACACTGCACCAGTAGCATTTTAAAGAAATAGTGGTGCTTCTGTTCACCTGTTAAATTGGATTTGGATCACAGAAGTGTTGTGCGTAGAACAAAGGTATGTACAGTGTGAAATACTGATAACTGAACTGAATATCAGAGGTCTTAACCCAAAGATAAAAGATAAAAAAAAGACGGTGTAGACACAGTTCCTCTGTCTTATTGTTGTGGCGCCCTCACCTGGCTGGCAGTAGCTCCTGCAGAGGTGGGCGACTCGGCTCCCATGGGCCTGAGAAAGCGTGGCGGTCTCTCCACGGGGGAGTTTCGTCGTCGGTAGAACAGGACGTAGGCGTAGCGCGTCACCACCTGACTCTCCTCCACCATTGTCACGGTGCTGTCATCAAACAGACGCCAGCCTGTGGGACAGGGAGGACAGAGGTAGAGGAGGAAGAAAAGAAGAAAAGAACAGGGAGGGAGGATGTAATACTACCAATAGTTATATAAAGATGGGAATAAACCTCACTGAGTCCGAACTTACCAACATCACTGCGCTGGCTGTTCTTGTCACTTGGCAGGCGAGCGTAGGCCGTGTAGTGGCCTCCTATCATTCCTCCATAGTGGTTGATGACTGCATACAAGTCGTAGATAGGGGGTTGTTGCATCTCCTCCTTCTGCCCGATACAGAACTTACTCAGGTCCAGATTCCTAGAAGACAAGATGATATGACCGGCTTTCATATTGAAATTATGTGAACACAGCAGTCAAAGAACTGCATGAGGGTTTAATTATCAAAAACAAATATATCGCTTATTTTTACATTCAAGTGAGCAAAAATAATGAATGGTGTGTTGTGGATGGAGATCAGGTGGAATTTAAACTTTTTACTGTCCATTTACCTGACGGGAAAATCAACCATGTCGTTAATCTTATCCCTCCAGATGAAACTCCTGAAGGAGAAGCGTTTGAGCTGGATGATCAAAACGTTGGGCAGACGCCACAACAGAAGTTGCTTGGAGGCCTCTCGGTGCTGCTGGCACTTTGGACAGTACCTTAAAAACACACAGAGTGCATATAAACCATTGTTCTATATTCACTATCGCCAGGCGAAAAAGGAGGACCAAAAACACAACACTTCAGTTATTTGCTTTCAGGTTGTATATAACCAAATGGCAAGTTAAAGAGAGGTATGCTGGTGTACAAGCATCTGATGCAACAAAAAACTTGCAACCAGGAGACCATCGTTGGTTTAATAAGCATTTCTTTATATGCTTGGGCAGGCTGAGGCCCAGAGTTTGAATATACCCCTCCAAAAAAGTGGTGGGAATATAACCTTTGACAGAGGAAAACTAAAGAAACAGGACAGAGACACTGCAGCATTGTTTTAGATGAGCCAATCACAAAATTAAGACCCTTACCATGCCTCCTCTGGTGCCAGCACTTCTGGCTTTGTGAAGAGGTTGAGGCACTGCTCCAGGGTGAAGTGTCCTGCTCTGGCTGTCTCACTCAGGGAGCCGGGGTCCTCCTCGTACTCCAGCTCCTTGGAGCTCACCAGGACGTACTCCTTCAAACGCTCGTTATTTTTCCACACCAGCTCCAGGGTCGCATCCTCTGGGAGGTCTGCCAGTGCATCCTCTGCACAGGGGATGGAGGGAGGTGGGAAAAAACAATGCTGGTGTGTTGGACTTTTCTTTCTTGGAGTACAATATTAAGTCAGTGTTTCCTCTATGCTGATTTTGGAGCGGCGGCTCGCCACTGTTAAATTTCTGCCGCCACGGTATCAGAAATGGGGCAGACGCACAATGTAGTCACGGTTGCCTTTTAAATAATCCTGCCGACATAATGCACCCCCGTTGGCTGCCGCTCACATTGCAATTTAACAACAAGCAGAACTATTCAGAGGTTATTGGGGCTGTCCAGTTTAACTCCACATACTGTTGTGTTGATGTAGCTTATTGTCAAAACATTCGCTTTCTTCCAAGTCGACTATTAAACTACAGGTCCACCAAAAACGTCACCGCGGTGGGTCCGTTTTAATTGGACAACGTTCAACTTGTCTGTTCTCAGCTCAACGTCCTGATATCAAACATCTGGAAACATTAAAACGGTAAATATATTTGTTTGTGTCACAGCGAAGTGTCACTTCTGTTTCATACGTAAAACGTTTGCCAGCGTGACGGGTTATTCGGACAGGCCTGCCCCCACTGCTAAAAAAAATCCTAGAGGAAACACTGTTAAGTGTAACAGTACACACACCAAAAAAGCATATAGAGATACAAAAGATTACTAGTGATCCAAATAAATATCAGTACTTGAGACAATTCCGGTCATACCTCTCTCATCCAGCCTCTGCTCCTTGCTGTTAGAGTCCAGCAGAGCTATGTAGAACTGACTGGCATGACCTGATGCTGACTCGCTTGGATGCTGATACCCTGTTACTGCAGCTGCAAAAAAGTGGCAAGAATGAGGACTGAACGGCTGCAGAGAAAAAACAACCACAGAAATACTGGAGCACCAGTCTGTTACTAGCTACATCAGTACCTTCTGGACGCACTGCCTTCTCACAGGACGTCTCTTTTTCAGAGTGAGGGTCCAGAGAACAGCAGGAAGCGGAGGAGACTGGCTCAGAGAATCCTGAATCTGTAGTCCGGGTGGTGGAGACAGAGGTCTGGGAGGAGGAAAGGGAATCGGATTCTCCAGAGTGAGGGGCTGAGGCCTGGGCACACTCTGCCTGCGATTCAGGCAGCAGAGAGTGGCTCTCCAGCTCGGGATCACCTTCTACAGTACTGCTCCCACCCATGGCCTCATCCCTGGGCCCGAGACCCTCGGGAGAACCTGCTGGCATTGGGGGGAGGTCAGCCCGGCACTGGGATGTTTCGGGGGATGTCCTGCCTGACTGGAAAGGAGGCTGGAACACGTTGACAGAAAACCTGCACATTGGGTTGACATTGAGAAAACATACAAGTAAACTTAATAGACAACATCTGGGTCATCAAAATGTCACGTCGATATATCTTACTGTAAGTCCATATTGTGGCAATAATTCAATATTGTATATATTGTCAATAATGTAATTACTGTGACAGGCCTATGTGTGGGCCATGTCCTATTTGAAATGATGAGACTGTACCTAGAGTAACCCTCTAGTAGCTGGGTGAGGCGGGCATAGGAGAGTCGAGACTCCGGCACGCTGACCAGGAAGGGCAGACCCACGTTCTCTGTGTTGGGTCGGCACAGACCTTTGTGATTGGGCCAGTGGGTCCTCTGACACATTCTGGGAAGGGAAAAGTTCATGGATTTAATTTAACAAGAAAATGACAGATTACTCAGAGTACATTTGAAAAAATTCTTTCCCAGCTAATGACTTTCCAGTAATCAAAAATGTGTAATCTTGTGCAAGGCTGAGACACAATTTTGTATTGTCTAGTAGCACTCACTGATTGCAGTAGCCCACACGATAGCAGCGAGTGCACCGCTTCAGCTTGTCCTCCTCAGACCCTGGGGGCTTCAGGCAGGCAGCACACTTTGAGATGGGGATGTTAGGGACCTGCAGTCTCTGTAGGGCAAAACAGAGGGCAAACTCTCAGTATCAGTAAACCCTGACATATTTAACATGTAGAAACAACTGTAGAAATGAAACTCAGGACTTTTTTTTCACAGGTTTTTTATTTACCTGCTTCACTCTGAGCAATACCACTCTCTCTTTGGCCATGTCTTTGGAAAGCACCTCAAAGCAGAACAACATGTCAGAGGAGGACACCGTGTCCAAGGAATGGGACGGCAGGAACATGCGCTGGAAGCGGTTCTTCCCAACCTGAGAGCAAAAAAAAAAAAAGAAAGTCGTCCTTGAGCAAGAGATCTCTAATGACTACCACTGCTGGGCACCACTCTAAAATTCATCATTGGTTTATAATTAATACCAAACGCACAGTAAGAAATCCTGAGTATTTGAATATCTAACCTCTGCCAGTCTGAGGTTCTCCGGTTTGACCCTGACACTCCTGGAGATGGATTCGAGGACTTCAGCAGTACTGGAGTTCTCCTTGCTCACACTCACCAAAAACTGAGACAAACATATATATAAAAAGTACATTAGAGTGTGGGTCTCAAAACAAAGCCACATTTCTGCATTACATTGCTGACGGACACTGGGTAGTATGACTGTTTAAGTGGAGACTGGAAACCAGTTACTTTATCTTACCTTGATGGGTTTTTTATGAGGTTCCTTAGCAAAGTAGAAAACTGAGAGCACCTTTTGTTTCTGGGGCAAGGGCACAGGCAGGTAAAGGAAAGGGTCAAAGGTGATAGACACCTGAAGATCACAGAAGTAAGGAGAAGTAGGTTAGTCATTACTGTAACAATAGAAAGTATTTACTTTAAAAGAAAGTAAAAGATTTTGTGTAAAGTTATTGTTAAAGTTACCTTGGAGCATGTAGGGCACACAAGCTTGGATTTGAACTGGCCTTGGAAGAGGTCCACTATAAAAGAGTCATTTCGCATCTTGTGCCTCTGCCACGCCTCCTCCGCCACCACCTGCACAAAGAGACAAATATTTCATCAGCTCAAGCCTAGAGGAGACTGTAGGAGGAATGGTAGCTGTTATCTCAATAAGAAATGTCCCAAGAACAACTTTCTATACTTTCTTGTAAGTGTAAATTATTATACCAAAAAGAAATCACTAATTCACAGCAGCAGCAGCAGCAGAAACTGCAACGCATTCCCTGCCAGAGAAAACCAGTCTACCTCTAGATACATCATAGGGGAGAAAATTGCCCACCTCATCCAGCCTTCCATCAGAGTCTACCGTCTCTGTGTAAGGTTTATTCTGGATGCGGTTCAAGTCCTCATGCAGTCCATCCAGCAAGAAAGCCATGAACTCCTGAGCATCATGCTGGGCGTAACCCGTAAACTGACTGGCTTTACTGGCCACAATTGCCTGCAAGAACACAAACAAACAAAAAGTAGAAGGGGGGGCACTTATCATATATTGTCCTTGCAATAAACAAAGAAAAGAAAGTTTCAAATTCGATTTTTGTAGTCAGACAGATTGAAAACTTCCAAAGTAAAGCAATTTATAGAAGCTACAGCATGAAATATTGTATTTTTTTACATAATTCAGGTGGAAAATCTCTGGGTGCTGCTTGCATACCTTGAGTTTTGATGGTTGGAAGGCATGATGTGTTCCTTTCCAAAGGGCTCTGAGCAGCACAGCAAAACCAATGGCTAGTCTGCCCCCTGTTCCCAGTGGATTATTGCAGTTGATTTCTGCCTCAAATGCTCGATCTGCAGGGCCACAGAAAATGCAGGCAAGGAACCAGACATCAACCACAGAAGTCAGTATTGAAGTTATAGTTTAAATCAGCTAGGGATGCACCGATCCACATTTTTTAACTTCCGATCCAATCGTGATACCTGAATTTGGATATCGGCCGATACCGATACTATTCCGATACCAGAGCTCTGTTTGCTTTAATATTATTATCATCATGATTATTATTGATGATTTTATATGAGGCTGAAATAAACACCTCTCAACAGGCAAATATGATATGTACGTATGTATGCATGTATGTCCATAAAAGGCAACTTGAGGTAAGTATAAGGTCAGAAAAGGAAGTCAGAAAAACAGGAAATCCTATTAACAGGAAAAATCCCACCCTGAAAAAAAATATGCAACTGTAAGGGTTTCAAATTGATTGTCATGTCAATACTTATTAAATTCCCAAAATGTAAAATAATTGAAATATAAGAAAAGTGCCATAAGTGTAAACATCTTACACACAGACACACCTTTAGCTTTCCCGTTGTCTGCCTGGAGTTTACCTTGTTTTTGGAATGACTCCAGAAGTGATTCCTGACAGCTCCTTTTGTCTTTCTGCCCCTGCTCTTCTTCATATGGATTTCAGCAGTTTAGACACTTCTAGGCGTATTACTGCCCTCCTCAGGAAGTCACTCTGAGGATAATGTTACTGCTTCAATTTTTCATATATAGCCCTGTATCGTGTAAGAACTGTAATACTACTTTAACAATCAAGTGGTGGTTCTCATTTTGATCCAATAATCCTCGTGCTCTTTCGTGTGGTGCTTTTTTAAATGTTTGATTGCGTTCGTAGTGTTGTACGACGCGAGGGAGCTTCCGCCTCTCTGAATCATGGCTTTGCTTGCTGGCTGCAAACTGCGGAATGGATTTCCTGAGCGGGGGCGTGTCTCATAACTCTGTCAAACTGAGCCGCGCCTCCGTTCAGGAAATCCATTCCACAGTTTGCAGCCAGCTAGCAGACTGGCCGGCAGGAATCACTTGTGGAGTCATTTCAGCAGACAACGTTAAAGCGCAGACATGGCTCATGGATATCGGATATTTCCGCAGGTTGGATCGGGAAAATCCGATACGTGAATTACGCTGGTATCGGTCCCAATACCGATACTAGATCGGATCGGCCCCATCCCTAAAATCAGCCAAACATTTATTGTTTATCAACTTTTGGCTCAATAAATCATGTTCAAAGAACTAAGTGACCTGGATTTTGTAGCAATTATTTAAAAGTTGTTTGTGTTTTAAATGCTTTAACTGCAGAAACCTCAGTATATCTGGCTTTTGAAGATGAAACCAGAGCAAGTTATTGAGTCCTCATTAAAACTGCCCCTGTGGGCCACTCTGCACCACTCACGGCCATGTTAGCAGTCCCTATCTGCAAGCAGAGGCAGCCAGTTCATTGAACCAGTTCATTTTGGCAATAGTTATTGTCAAGAGCATTATCAGTTTATCTATGTACCCAAGCACTAATAAAACACACCCTGTTAGATTTCTGAGCAGCTTATTTTCTTTTGCTTAAGCATATGGTCGGGTAATAAGTTATGCATTTGGCAAACATTAAGAGCTTTTATATCAGAATGGCTTTAAACTTTACCATGGAAGTAATCCCTGAGTTCTCTGGTGTTGGACAGGGATTGGATGACACTGTTCATGAAGCAGGTGTTGCCGAGGTTGACCAATCCTGTAAAACCAGGCAGGCACACCTTCTTCTCCTCTTCTTCTTCATGGCGCTCATTGCTGGCAGGAGGTGCGTGTGTCATGGGCTGCACCATGCAGGTAGGTTTAGGCTGAGACAGAAAAGATTCATACAGCGGTTCTACGAATTAGACCAGTTCAATTTTCATATTTCTTCCCTTTAAATTAGCTTGGTGAAACAACTATCCAAACATCAAGTTTATATTACCAGTATCTCTCCTTTACTCACCTTTCTATACTAAGTACGTTAAATAAAAGTTACCAAACTAAATAAACAACTTTCCTTTGCCTTGTGGATTTAGCTTTCTACTAACCGTGGTAACAGTGGGCTCTGGTTTGGTGATAGCAACGTGCTCAGAGACGGTGCGAGGAGCCACAGTGTCCAGACCGCCATCATCCCCTCTGGATGAGGCCTTAGGGGGCTTGGGTTTCTCCTCCCCGACTCTTGGAGGTTCCTCCTTGGCTGGCAGGCTGTGCTGGCTGCTGCCTGGCTGGCTCTTCTCCATGCAGGCAGGGCTGGAGGGCACAGCGACTTTGGCGCCACCCACTGCACCTTGAACAGAGGAGAATGGAGCTTGTGGTTAGCATATGAAGGTCAACAAGAGACTGGACAGTACTGGACATGAATTGTTGCAAACTGAGGTTGTTTAAAGCCTTTTCATTAGGACATACTTTTGACTTTTGCTGTGTTGACATGACATTAACACTTTACAGGTCGGTAATTTTCAGATTATTTCCTGGGAGATTTTCAGGCCAGAAGTACAGTATATAATTTGGTAATTAATACAGGGAAACAAATATGAATTCCCTTGAAAGAAACCCAAGTAAATATAAGTAAATATTAATTTATTATTGGAAACTTATCCATACATTTTGAATCATCTGTTTGCATGTTGAACTAAGTGTACCAATCGAAAACTGTCTCTATTTTCCTTTTGTTGCAACTAACAGTTTTTACAGGAAACGTCCTGGCAAAAAATAAACCAAACATTTAAAATCATTTCATAGGCTCTCAAGGGCACCAAGCCTTGAGGGGGTTACACAGACTGCAGGCCACATAAGGCTAGACGGGCAGACTGGAACCCATATCTACTTACTGGCTAAATTACAGAGTTCAGATTCCTGTCATTGATAGTTACCGTAAAGCACACATACATTTGCCTCAGACGCATACAATAAAAAGACACATACAGATAAATGCCAGGAGTCCACATTGATATAAAAGCTGCTCTTCGAATCATTGAGTATACATACTGTAGGCCTAAGTATGCTGTTTAAAGATACAGTTTAAAATAAGGTGTATATAATGCATGTTGATTTTAAGATCATGTTTTCAACGTTCAATGTTTGTGACTGAGTGAGAATGTGTCAGACTGTATCATTCCACCACTAACCCAACATCAAAAACCTGTATCTACACTGTGTTCATAAGTAGAAGCCTGGTAGCACACCTTGTGTGGCAGGGGCCTCCAGACCCCCCCAGCGCTGGCTATGCCTCTTCTTCAGGGTGATGTCCAGTCGAGACGGGGTAAAGGAGTAGCTGCACTGCTCAGGCTGGATCAGGTTCCTGAGGGGCGGGAAAGATTAATGTTGACAGGTGAGATTAAAAGACATGTGATGTGATTTTGAAATGCAACTAGTGCTTAATGAATAGCCAGATGGCTTTTCCTGAGTACTTCAGTTATATCTATACACAGGATAAATAAAATGTGCACATTCTGCACTGCTCACATTTGAGCTGTGTTTTGAAAGAAACAAAGGGAGACCATTGGAACATGTTTGCAACTGTGATACCAAGATGAGTCAGGTTATTGGCCATTAAAGTGATAGGCACCACCATGTCCATTTTAAGCATTTGACCTGGTGCAGCACCTGTACTTTGGCACGGTTTCATTTATTCATGCTCAAAATAAGTGCTCCAAAGTTTGTTTCCTGGGAAAGCATGCTCATACAGATCATAGTTTTTAAATTTAAAAAACATTTTGAAAAACATGACTAACAACAGTGACTTCAATGGTTACCTGAGTTTGACTTGCCACTTGAAAACCGTGTTCGGTCCACAGTCTGAATGGAGCCGCAGAAAGTTAGTATCACTGTAAAAGGATAACACACACATCACTTGTTGTTGTTCAAAGACATCAAAGCATGCTGAAATGGCATAACCTTTCTATATTTATAGCATATTCACATTCACTACCTTGTCTGGAAGATGAGGGTGAAATCCTGTTCCCTGAAGATGACCCTGGCCGTGTCCCTGCAGATCCCCTTCATGTAAACATTAACCACCATCAGGTCTGTCCCCTTCTCATACGAATCATTCTTCACAAGTTGCAAGTTAACCATCGGCTCTGGGGCTGCAGGAAGTAATTACAGGTATTAACAAACTCAGTGCTGACAAACTGAAGAGCAACACACCTGTGTATATGCAGTACTTTACAAAACAAAAAAAACAATTGCACAAACACATGTATAATAATCCAATCTCAAGGTCCACTGCATTCCCAAAAGCACGTCAACTAACCTTCCTGTTGCTTTAATTCCAGAGGTGGCTCCTCCTTCGACTGGTCCCGCTTTTCCTCTCCGTCACAGCTGCCCCGCCTCTGGGCTAGACTGGGTGACTGGCCTTGTTTGGCAGCCACTCCTGCAGCTGGTACCGAACTTGCCTCTCTTGACCCAAGCTGCTGGCGGATCAGAGAATCCTGCTCCGATTCCTTCTCAACAGGCCTTTTCTCTGGCTCAGAGTTAGTTCTATCTCCCAGCGTTTCTGGCAAAGCGGAATCCAGATCGGGTTTGAGGCAGTCACTGGTGCTGATGGGAGCTGCTGGTTGGCTAGCACTGCCACATGCTGTTGCTCCTGACCTGTCTGAAGGCTGGGTTCGCTTCTCTGCCACCTGAATCAAAACAAAGACACAAGAAAATGTACCCAAAAAACCTCCAGAAGATTTTTCTCTCCCTCTGACCAAGTGAAGATCTTGGTACGATGGATTCTTCATAATTTATAACTCCCTTTCTCCCTCTGATCACTGCAGTTATCAAGGAGAAACATCTTCATTCGAATTCAGACGAGTTGATTCTTCTGCACAGTTGAGTTTTTTGACACTAGATGCTGTCAAGACACTTCAAGCTGTTGTGTGAACAAGCTGTAAGACTGGTGACAGAGGTTTACAACCAGCAGGAGCTGAATTCATTTGCAGAGGCTGTAATAAGGTGGAGTGTTTACCGTTTGTAATAATGTCCAATAAAATCACAAGTCTCTCTCCGGGCTCTAAGGAATCTTGAAAAGGCAGAGCCCACACAGTCTACATGGTGATATTGGCTGTAATCTCATAAATCACAGGGCTGAATGATTTGAGGAAATTATTATTTTTTCTATAAATTAAACTCCAGTCCAGAAAAATAATGCAGTTGTTTCTTCTCACAGGGTTCAAACCAGTCAGTCTGAGAAAACTGACCAGTTAAACCCACATTTATTAATATATGCAAATTATAACATGGCTAATATTCAGGTAGAAATATTCAGTGTTCATGCACATTATTGAAATAAATTATTAAGAGCTTAAGCACATTATTAATGCAATTGATTAATAAATACATACATTTTAACATTCTAAATGCAAACAAGCCAGTTGGAGTGTTCATATAAGCAACCAAGATGTCAGAACTCTTCTCACCTGAGTTTTGTTGGTATGGCTGGCAGCAGCGACACAAACTCCTGGTTCCTGTTCCTGGCCACTGCCTAGTCTCTCTGCTTTGTTGTCTCCATCTCTGCGTTGCATCTGCGGGCTCCGACCAGCGGGCGGGTGTGTGCGTGGAGCTTTACCATTTGCTACTGCAGACTTGACAGAGTGCGAGTCCCTTTCGGCCGGTGACTCGGTGGCCTCTTTGCTGGTTTTGGGCGGCTGTACGATGGTGCGCTTGGCACTGGGTTCCTGAGGCTGCTGCTCGCCTCTGGTGACCGTAACAGGCTTGCTGGTGGTGGTTGAGCCATCTCCAGCTCCACCTTTCACCCCTACAGAGTCCGCAGTGGCTTTGTCACACGCTGGTTTGTTTTTCAGGCAGCGCTTGACACCCCGCTCGGCTTTGCCACCACTGCGTCTGGACTCGCTGTGTGCAGGTGAGGATGGAGACTGGAGTTGTGGCTGCGAGGCGGACAGTTTGGGTTTCTCTGATGAATCCAAGGCAACAGGCTTTATCTCCAACTCCTTGTCGTTTTTGGTCTCTATGGGTACAGCCTCCTTCTCCTTCTTGTTTGACTGAGCAGAGTATAAGGAAGCAAAACCATTTATCATTAAACAAAAACAGAGCTTAAGAACCTGTTTACAGTGTGAACGCCACTTAGGAATCACTCATATCTAAAATGACACAATTTCATGAGATCATTCAGTATTGTGCAAAAATACTACATTTATTAGCGCAGATAAAAACAAGACACAAATGGGTTCATGTAGGGACCAGAGCATGTGAGTGGAGCGCATGTGGGAGGATTTTGGATAGAGAAGTTGGAGCATCTCTTATCTCCCCCTCCAGGTTCGCTTTGGTATGCACTGGTACCACTGTACGTGCCAGGATCAGTCATTTCCACACTTCCCATTGTCAATTCATGCTCAAGTGTGAGGATGGCTCTTTACACCAGAGGCACATTTCTCTGCACCGGTCAACGAGCAGTTCTGCTCCTCTGCTCTTTTCTAATAACACGTAGCGCTGATCTGAGAATTATGTGTTCATGGATAAGCAGGGTTGTAGCTTCTTCTTCAACAGTGAAGTGAAAAAGGACCATCTTGTGATGATCTACAGGGGCTTCTCTCCTGCTGCCTCCTCAGTGTGTCCCCAGTGTGATAATTAAAGCTTTATTGTACAACTTAAACATGGTTTGGGCTAAAACTAAAAAGGTCCGGTGTGTAGGATTTAGTGGCATCTACCGGTATAGTTGCAAATTGCACCTCACTTGTTTCACCCTCCCTTTCAAAGCATGTAGGAGAAAATACAGAGTCCCTATCTAGAGCCAGTGTTTGGTTTGTCAGTTCCTGGCTACCGTACAACACGGCAGTTCAACATGGAAAACACATCCATAGAAGAGGGCCCACTCCCACTGTTGATAAAAACAGCTCATTCTAAGGTAACAAAAACACAATGATTCTGATTTTCAGGTGATTATACACTTATGAAAACATACCTATGAATATTATATTCCATTTCTGACAGTAGACTCTCCTAAATGTTACACGAGTGAGTCCTATCTTGCATGACTCACCTTAAGCGAAGGCCAGATGTGAAAGGGAATCTTCTTCTGCATGATGACATGAAGAAAACCTCCCTTCTCCTTGTACTGGACTCTGCTACATGAGGCTTCAATCTCCTCCTGCAATTGGCAGCTCCACTGCCGTCCATCTGAAAAATGAAAGCGTGCATGTAGATGTTATTAGAGCAGAATTAGACTCATACACTCGATAATAGTGCAAGTCAGACAAAGATTTTAACACATGCAGTATGTTGAAGTTATAACACATGTGGTTAACATCCAAACTCCCGAGACAAGTGCAACATGGCCTGAATCCAAATTCACAACTGTGCCTGTTTTACTTTTGTGGTTTTATTTTAATATTATTCAACCTAGTACTTCTCATTTACACTCCACTGTAATAGTTGCTGTTTATGTTGCATGCTTTATTGGGACTTACCAGGGAAGCACACAAGGCAGTGTGTATCAGTGAAGGTTGTGTTGATGTCCTCTATCCTCTGCACCCCCTCCCCACAGCGCAGTCTGACAGTCACTTCATTGACATTCTGCTTCCAGTCCACAAACACATCTGGAAAACACAGTCACACAGATGTGAAACCACAAGGGGAACTTGCAATTCCCCTTTCCACCATGATTATTAGAAATACATTCAAAAATAAATATAATAAAAAAAGATCAAATAAGAGAAAAAACAATAAATCCCATCTGGCAAATATGGAAGCTGAGAACGGGAAAAAAATCAAAACACACAAAACAGAAAAAGGCAAAGAGTACAACAGCAGAGGCAATTAGGCTTTTAAGTAAGACCAGTGGTGAACATACTGTATCTCTACTACTCTGGGAGAATATAGACACACATTGAAATGCACCTGCTCACACATTCACATAAGGCATACCAGTAGACCCATGTGCCCAAGTGGGTCAGTCCAGAGCACTCAGGCACAGACTGAAGCAGAAAGTACAGTGAACTCAGCAATCACAGACAGGACATCTAAAATTATCTGCGTTACACAAACAGTATACCAAGTAAACAACTGCATAAAAGCACGTTAAAAAAACATGCTACCAAGCCATACACATGCTTTTCAAGGTGGAATGAAGAGCGGAAACTGTGACAATAATATCCCAACAAGAAAAACAAAACCAACATGTACCATTTCTCATTGTGACCTCAAAGTCGCAGCAGTGATTGAAAATGAAATATCATCCCAGAAATACGAAAACTTTATTACCTGCTGGCAAAGGACTCATGGATAGATCACGCACACACTCGTATTTGGATTTAGACTGCGACAACAACTAGAGAGCTGTAACTTTCTCCCCCTTCTGTCTACCGTAATCACTCTAAAAGGTCACAAGCAACACCCAATCCCTTCCAGCTGGTGACAGTTGTATTTCCAGTGGAGCCACTCCACAGTGTGCTCTCATGGCTGGGGAAAACCTCACAATGACATTCCTGATATTAACACATTATAAGCACAAATGAAATGCTTGCATCTTCATGGCAACTTTGTGCCAGAAAGTCTAGTATTGGCCAAGAAAAGGCAAAAAAAACTGCAACTGTAACACAATGGATTAGTAGTTTTTTATGACCATTATTATTATTATTGCAATATTGAAGACCTAATGCATTAAACTATGTTTACATTTAAATCAGGAAACCAATCCAATTTTAAAGATATGTCAACAATTTATTTATGTTTACACCATCAGTGGCCCACAAAAATGATCATATTGGTATGGGTCTGTTTCCGGCCTCATCAATTCCACTTCAAAGTAGGGGTGGGCGATATGGGCAAAAATATCGATATTTTGGGGGATTTTGGCGATTACGATAATCAGTCGATATCCTTTAAAATGTGATTGGAATTGTCCGAGTTAGGGCTTGTGTCCACCAAAATATGTTTTTTCAACTTGAAGCGCTCTGAGCGCTGCGCTAAAAAAACGTCTCCGCTGAGATCTTTTTACCGCTGAAGGCGCTTAGCACTCTGAACGCTGAAGCTCAGGGGATTTGTATCAGCACTAAATCATCTGAAGTACCGGTAGCTTCAGGGACTGGAGGTGCTTGCATTTTCTCTCTACCATCACAACGCGCTGTTAAACTGTTGCAAGGAGGATGCTAGCGAGAGGTCACGTGATCAAGTCATGTGATCACGTAGGCCCACTAGTCGTGACTGATTCCTGCCATGCTGTAGAGAGCATTGCTGCACCGTGTATTAAGTGGATGTGAGGAGTTTCCGCATGTGTTTCAATAATTTAAATACTCGATGATGGAAATTTGCACATCGTCAAAACAACAATGACGATATTATCGCAAATGATATATATCGCCCACCCCTACTTCAAATGTACCAGAACCTATTAGATGCATCACACCGCATGGCTGAGAGAATGATCAAATCTCAAGTATACAAAACACATACTGTGATGGTAATTACTGGATTTTTAAGGCCAATACTGATGGAGATTTAGAAGTTTTAAAACTCTGACAACGATATATCAGCTGATAGCTATTTCTTTACTATAAAAACATAATATAAGCAAACAATCTTGATATGGACCCCATACTATTGTTTGTTAGTTTTTTTGGGGTGGGGTTATGAATTATGACCAAGATAGAAGAAGCTTAACATTTTACAGTTAAGAAAATCTACTTTTCAGAGCTCTCTGGAAGCCAAACTATGGCACTTCTGTACTGCAATTTCTTGTTACTTCTTGAAAGATATAACACTAATACCAATATAACTGCAATAAAATATCATTGATTTATTGGTCTAGCTCCAATTCCTGCCAGTTTTACATTAAGCCTGACGATTGCTTAACATTAACGCATGAGTGCTGCTGATAGCAGTATAAAGTTACCAGTGCGGCACGGTTTAAGAGTTCACCATTATGCCTACTAACCGGGCTAGTATAGTGTTTGTAGGTATTGAAGAAGATGGTGTAGAAAGATGGTGCATGTAAGAGCTTCAGAGCATTCTCATGACCGGTAACACACATGTGACCCTATAGTGGGAAAATATATTAACATCAAAACAGAACGAGCATGATAAACATACTGTAGATACAACCAAACAGAGTTAAGTGCCAGCAAAGTACCATGTATCTAATAACAATATGGAACACTGACCAATACAAACACAGCCTAGTTATCATTGCATAAGCACGAAGCAGCCTAGTCTATTGTAATGTTAAAAATTGCCTTCTGGTGATATTTAGCAACGCAACACAGTGGGCAAACACCAAATCCAGCATGATGGAGTATGTGCCATAGGATGCATTGATCCAATATCAAGTATCCATACTGGAGCTCTCCCTGGTTAATTATGAAGTGCCGTATCAGATATGCGCCGTCATCAACACTAGATCTATTATTAAAGTGGTACTACAACTTCTGATTTAATTATATTACCACTAATTCAACCATGCACTTGGAAAACAAGACAAATAACACACATACACAAAAGGGTTAGATACACAAACTACTTTCCATGTGTAAAGTTGCATATGGTGCAGGTAGCTATGAGAGATACAACCATTACTTTACACTAAATCAATTCCTCTTTTTTTAAACCACATGGAGCGCTAGGTCAGACATCATTTAGCTCTGTTTCTAACCAGTGGGCCATTTTCATGCAATGTTTAGCCAGGACAAATTAGGCTTTGTGGAACGTGTATATCTAGGTATTTAAGTTATGGATAATGTAACAACATTGAGCTGAATGAAAGATGCGTTGATCTGAGCATTCTCAGACTTAAGTCACTTTAACAGCATACAATTGGCAGCTATTTCACAAACCTCCACGGATGAACCAGTGTCATATTCATCACATGGGGCAACTCAATTACAGTTTTAAGTGTTTTAGTCATGTATAATGCTAATAGAATACTGCAATGACTCCTATAAAGGATGAGGAAGTACGGTTGTTTTCTATTTCAACACCTACGGGGATTAGCAAGCAGATTTCTTTCCTATTAAAGAACACAACACGTTTTGGGAGTAGATACAAGGATAGATACCTTAGGCAAAGGGAAACCACAAATCTAATTTACAAGTTTTGTGCAAGGATTATGCAGAATATTTAATAACCATAAGAAATATTTCAGTGGTCAAGCACGCCAACCTTGTTTCCCTTTTTAAACTCAACTGAAAAACAGATTGTTCCCTGTATAATTTCAAGTTGTAGAAGACATTTCCAGTATCTTTAAAAACACAAAGCAGGGTTTGTCTCTAGAAGTAAATGTTGGAACAGAGAAACAGTGACATGTTCTTATTGTCAGATATTTGTGGGGGGCGATTAAAATGAGAAAAAAAAATATTCCTCCTCTGAATGGCAGCTCTCCTCCTCCTACAACAAAATAAACATTCAGCCACGAGCACTTCGATAAAAGGCATGAAACCATACAAAGGACGCGGTAATCCACATCCACACACGTGTATCTAAGATGAAGATGAGACACGCTCAGCCCACATTAAACGAGAAGTATAGTATGTACAAAGTGGTCAGCTCGTACAAAAAAGCAACATGAATTCCAATGAAGGGATGAAATTGACAGCAGAAGGACAACATTTGCGTTTCTCATATAGAGGTTCTACAAGGGCGGTCTGCACAGGTAGAGGAAATCTGAATGCAATGAAATAACAAGGGGCTGCATTCTGTCCATTTATTACAGAATGGTGATCACATATGACTGCAAATTGAAATGGTTTTGGTTGGTACTCACAAGAGCACTAGCGAGTAACAAGGGAAACAAGTGTGTTTCAGTGTGTTATGTAAAAGATATTAACAGATTACAAAACTGTTATAGCAACATGTAAAACAATTCATGTCATGAATGTGTTAATGAATGACAACAGAATTTATGGTTGGCACTGTGCAGCCAAACACCCATAACTGATCTCCACTTAACTCAGTCTGCCAAACAATTAGGCCTGGCATTTATACCCAGAGCAAGTTTCTTTGATCTACAGTTTGTCCACACATAATCAGATTTTAATATAGGGTAGAAACTAACAATTGATTTTAATTATTGATTATGTTCTTGACCAACCTGATCAATCAGTTGGTCTATAAAATGTTAGAAAAGCCTAAAGATGTCTTCAAGAAAAATGGCTTGTTTTGTTCTGTATGATCAACACACTTAAAAGCAAAAAGAAGATACTCTGTTTACAATCACAGATGACACCAAAAAATGCAACATTGCTGAGAATAAATCCCATGTATGTATATCAATTTGAAAATAGACGCACTGCATCTGTGCCCTAATGTGACAATTCTTTGCAAAAATGGCATATTGAAGCATTAAGTACTCAAGGTGCCCTATGGGCTTTATGGGCAAAACAAAAGCTATGCTTGTACTCAGTGTTTCTCACAAAAACTCAATATGCGTATCTTTGAGGTCCAACAACAGTGTTAAATCATTTCCCTCCGTATAAATTATTGTTTTTTTAATTCATGTTGTTTACATCTAGGTTTGCTACCTTGCATTATTTGTCTTCCTTCCATTTCTTGCAATGCCAAATATCCATCAGTGGAATAGCTCAGCAGGATGTGCATGTTACAAACAAAACGGTGACCCACTCAGAAAAACATTGCTCCATAGCACTTCTAGTGGTCGTCCTGTGGAGATTATGACCACTTTGTATCTGCACGCACTAAAGGACTGTTTCACACTAATCCTCGAACAGCTGGTGGCTGTGCAATGCACCAACAAAGGCAAGGAAGAAGAAGCCGATAACAACAACTAGCTAGCTAGTAAACATGGATGACAACAATGCATGATTTTAAATATTCAAAAAAAATCAGTTCAGCAAATAATTTATGAGACAGGAAATGCATTCCTTATGTTTGTTAGACCTCAATGATACACAGTAGCTTTGGGTGAGAAACAGTTAAAGTAAATATAATTTTGTTTATAAGTAAACTCAAGGTATTCAAGGTGACAGGGCACCTTGAATATGATGGTTTTACACATTTCAGCTAATTTTTAGGTTTCCAGTGTACAACAAAATACCCCCAGCTTCTCAGATAACACAGGTGTGCCACAAACAGTCAAACAGGTCTATTCACTGCAATGCTGCAGTCATATTTGCATAATGTACATTTACCTTATTATATATTACCATATTTAAACAGCAGTGTGGTTATTATGTGTTTTTAAAATAACAGTTTCACCCAACAAATTGCATATTCAGTCAATACCAAATGTTTCATTGGTCCAACTCACCTTTCTTGACCTCTGCAATAACCCCGTCTACTGCTGCAGCTGCTCTCTTGGCCTCTCTGCTCTCCTGGTTGGCTCTGTCCTTCTGCTTCTTCTTACTGGTACTGGAGGACAAGTCTGAGCTGTTGTCCCTACCGCCGCCTCCTCTCTGCTGAGCCCCACCACGACGGCCCACTGTCTCACTACCAGCCACACCGCTACCGCCGCTGCTGGCCATCTTCAGGCACTTGGCACTAACAGGCCGCCCGTCGCCGGAATCACTACCGCTGCTGGGGTCTGGATCTGAGGTGTGCCTCTTCCTGCCTGGCCCAGCTATCTTGGCGATGATACTGGTCTGAACTCTCCCAGAACAGAATCAGGAAGGCTGATAAGGGGACGGGGACCTGAGGTGCAGGGCAAAGAGAAAATGAATAATCAAGAGGTAATAATAATCAATAGTAATCTCCTTAGTTGTTTGGCATTAATATGTGCTATCTGAAAGATGTGACAGCATAAAGTTAAACAACTCAGGTAATCATGAGTATCTTTGCCTCTCTCTCTCTCTCTCTCTCTCACACACACACACACACACACACAGGGGAAGGAGGTGAGAGAGCGTTAACTGCTTAAAACTAATCAGGAGGAGGTCTCAAACAACTACAACAAAGCTGAGGAACACATGGACATTGTGTGTAACAGAGGGAAGCATATGGCTGCACATTAGGTTAGAAGACACCGAGATTTAGCCTTTCCTCGTTTCCTTAGCATAGCAACAGCCACTTGCTAGCTTGGACAGTCAAATGACAAACAAAGGACAGCGGCTACATCAGCCATTTTATTCGGCGTTCAGTACAGAACATTCACTAAACACATGGGTGGTGTTCATTAATTTAAATAGCGAGCTTAAAGATGTAGCTCTACATCCCCGGAGCTTGGTCACTGGTAAGTTAGCCAGCCGACTGCAGAGGTTCGTTTAGTTAAATGCACACGTGTTTTCGGCTGTCATGTGCCTGTCGATATGAGGTACACACAGTTGCCTGTCTGTAGCGTTTAACTGACGCTGTATTGTTTATGGTCAACTAAATGTATTGGTATTAGCAAATGATCTTTAGACAGTAACATTAAGACGTTATTTTGGAGTACCTGGTCCACATTGAGAAGTATAACGGTAGAACAATGCATTTCTTGGGAGGCACATTGGGTTTAACAAGCCAAATAATGCATCTAAATAAACAGTGTTGGCTCTGTTAACTATACATACCCCTCCACATTACTACTGCATAATGTCAGAGAACATTTTATATCAGGATGATAACTGCTCCAGTCTGTCTACCGGGAGAGCGCAGGACAGGTCGTATAATCAAACGCTCCTACATTCTTCGAAAAGCTAATGTCATTAGCCACATCAAGCTAACGCTAGCTGAAACGAAAGCGTTGATATGGCTACCTATTTTACACAACATGACATCTCCTGACACCTGGCGCCCGCCTGTGATTGAAATGCCAAATTAATGTTGACATTAAAACGGGAGACTTACGGGGCTGCAGTTTGGCGAAATTTGGATTCCGTTGCTAGCACACAATGGCCGGGGCGACTCCTTCTGCTTCTCCCGGCTGCTAAGCTCCTTCACGGCCGCGCCTGCCCACACTCGAAACCCCGTAGTCCACGGTGTTTCTGGAATATTCTTTCATTTATCCGGGACCCATTTCTGGTCACTTTAAACTAGTTAGTTCGGAAATAAAAACAAAAGACAGCAATTGAAAAGGTGCTCGGTCTGGTGTCAGTTTGGTGTCATTCGGCCTCTGCGGCGTGAGTCCCAGTACTTTGTTTGGTTCAATATACACTGCTGGCCGGCCGAACCTGAGCTGAGAGCGCGCACTTCCTGGCTGGCGCGTTCACGTGATCTGTAAAACGCTTCCTCCACCCCCTTTCTCCTGCACACACACACACACACACACACACACACACACACACACACACACACACACACACACACACACACACACACACACACACACAGACTACTGTTCAATTGATAATTTACACAATAAATTCAAATAAATAATTTGGTTTGCAAGCATGTAACAGATTACTTTATATTATTTTTGGCTATAGTCTGTTCATTAAGATTGGATTATCAGTGAGGGAAGAAGGCAAAAAATACTCACCACAAAAACACGATAAAAACTGAAATGATAAGGGCCTTAAAGTGGCTCCTGAATTTTTAGTTAGAGATCCCCTCCAGACATTAATGTGTTAAGACATAATACAAATAGTCTGTTTGGAACAATAATGTGTGTCTTCGGTGTTTTTTTAAGCAAAAAAAGCATCATTTCCATATTTGAAATCCTTAAAAGGGCACCAGCTCCTCCTACCTCAATAAAAATTCCACAACCTGTGAGTATGCTTCAGCTGGACCAGGGTTGACATCAAAACAGTTTATGATATTACAAATCATCCTCATAGGCCCCGCCCCTAAAATCAGATGTTCAATGAGCACAGAGAAACTTTCCACTTTCAGCAGAGGAATGTGAAAACATCCTTCTAGAGTCAAACTCTGCACAGACAGCATTCAAACAGCACACTGTAGGAACAGGATCAAACACTGATTTTTGAGTGGAGGGGGACTTTTTCTTGTTTCTTGTTTTCTTGTTGAGAGAGGGCCCCTCTGTCAAAATCAAAATGTAATACATGAATAGGCCTATCTCAGTTGATATTATGCCTATATGGAACATTTGTCAGTACATTTCTTACTTAAATGAGCACAAACTAACAGACGCACAGCAAACACGGGGCAAGATAGTATTCAACTGGAGAAATACTGGCTGGTTTCTGGGTCTCTGGCCGGAATGGGCTGTGGGCACTGCTTCAGCTGAACGCCATCCCAGCTCCTCCACAATCAACATTCAATGGCGCTCATATGTCAACTCTTTATATGGGCCCATATTCCCACAGATATTTTTTTCAGTCATTTGAGGAGGGGACCCTGGCCATAATACATCAAGACCCCTACTATTTTTAGACTGGGGCCTCGTCCTAATTGGCATCCTGCACTGTGTCATCCTCTGAGTCTGCACTAAAATCATATTGACAGATGCAGACCTGTGGTGTTCCCTGTTGCTCGTTCCCCTTGTTAGAGTTACCCTCTAATAATATGGTAGAGCATGACTACACATTAAGAGCATCCTAGCTAATAATCAAAACGCTAATTTATTTAACAAGACCATATCGTATAGCCAAAAAATAGTAAAACGCCATTCTGGTTAAATTATGCAACCTTTATTCACAAAACGGTACACAGTTAAACTTTACACAAGCTTCTTTTGGTATCTGTGCTTTGGCAATTACTTATCAAAGTCATGTGGCTGCCAGTTGAAATGTCATCTGAGGGAAATATGTTTACAGGTGTTTTGTTTTTTTTGGCCTGTCATGTAGCCAAAAACACAAACTGTCATGCAAAGAACATGAGTACAAGACACTGGCATATTACAAGGCACAATTAAACACTGTTCATACTGTAGAAAACTATGTCACTTCAGACTTTACTTCAGAATTACTGCAGACCTTACATATTCTATCACAGTGCATTCGATAAACAAACATTCTTCACATTCATCTGTGCATCACAGGTTTGGCCATCAATAAGTGATGACTTAAAGCATTACAAACAGCAAAACATTTTGGAAATTACACTTATTTGCTTTCAAGTTTTATATATATATATATATATATATGAGTTATATTTTGTTTGTTTAATTCATACAAACTGTAACTACAAAAATGACTGGGAGTTACATGCTGGATGTCTTCTCATTTAACTCTAAAAGAAAGCAAATACGCTTATTTCTCAAAATGTCTAACTAGTCCTTTAAGTTTGTCCTGAGGGTGGTGTCAGAATGATGAGTGTCATTTTGCTATCTAAATTCAAAAGGTTTATGTGTAAGTAATCACTTTACAGAAGAATATGTCAGACTCAGCTTGTCCGGCTCATTTAATGTTTTATCAGCTGTATTTGACAGATATTTCACTCTGGACCGAAGTTCACCCACATACACACAGACTGACCCATAGTAGCATCACCAGAGCTGTGCCGCTAGCATTCACTGTTAGTTTACACTGTTAGCTTATACTGCTCCCTACATCATTCCTGTTTGGCATTAGCCACCCTCCTACTCCAGGCAGAGGTGGTTTTTGGGCTGCTTACATCTTTTCGCTCAGCGGAGTCAAACTGATTTTTATTTATTGGTATGAAGGCTGAGATAATACAAAAAATGATTCCTTGCACCCCAGTTGGTACAATTTTTTTATCTAAAATTCCTTCAATTTAAAATCCATATGAATTCAAAAACCCTGTTCATCTCTTCATTCTACTGAAATGGTATGTCCCTACTACTATGCAGGGACTCGTCTGTATTTTGGCTTGTTTAAGAAAAAGCCAAAACAATGAAAGCCTCATTATAACTTGAAAACACAGAACAGATTTTGATTCAGATTTTGTCCTCATGCACCCCAAAGTTGTTGTGTTACATACTGAAAGAAGACACTGTAGAATATACTTTCAGTAGTCATAGACACTTCATAGAAAAATGGGGAGGGAAGTATATTGACCTGTTGATTATCACTAAGTAAAAAAATCCATAAAAAGATTGACTACAAATTGTTTGTAATCCATTATTTTCACGGCTGTGTATCATTGACTTTTCTAATATATAATGTTCATGTTACACAAATGTAAACATGGATAATGACACAGATACAGTTCCAGATTGTTTTACAAATGAAAAACAAAAATAATGTACACAAATTAAAATAAAATATGTCATATCAGACAACCATTACATGTTCGGTCATGGGTACATATATCTAAATATGATAGCAACTGTTTTAAATACTTACATAAAAGACAGTCTGCACACAAAATATGCAAATTCACTTGCAGAGTGATAAAATAACCACCACAGCCCTCTTCTTTGATGGTTCAAAGTCTATTGTACAGTTGGTGTATCTGGAAGATTTGGCAGAAAAACACAAAGATGGACCAGTTTTCTCATGAGTAGTGAGTTACTGGCATGTGTTGTAGATCTGGATCTGTTTGTTGATGTCACTGAGGATGGCTTTCATCTTGTCCTCCAAGCCATCCAGCTGACGAGCTTTCCCCTCCAACCTCCTCTGGTTCTCCTCATAGTTTTTCTCCAGCTCTGTGGGAAGCAGGAATTTCAGGAATGGTTACACAGCTAATGTGAGTCATTTTAAAGTCATTCAACTTGATGCACGTGACCACCAGATTCTTTTAAATAGACTGAAGGAAAACATTGGTCTGTCTAGTTTTTAACCATCTCTACCAATCTCTCTGCAATAAAGTTCTTTGTCATTTCTCAAAACACTATAAAATAACCTGTGTGGTTCCTCAAGAATCAATTTTAGGGACACAATGTTTATATATACTGTATATATATGTTACCCTTGTCCTCCAAAGGCACGGCATCTCTTTTTTTTTTCAAGTTTTTATTTGGGCTTTTTTTGGATTCGAACCATGGGCAGTTGCAGCAAGGACTCAGCCTCGGTATATGGGTCGCCAGCTCTACCCACTGAGCTAACCGGGCACCTGGTCTGTGGTTGATCTTAGTGGCAGCACTGCTGTGACCCTATAGGACAAGCAGTTTAAATTGTTTTGTTTGCTGTTTCTATTTTTAAATTAGTCTCCACAAGTTTATATGTGCAATGCGTTTTCATCAGCTTCAGCGTCAGTCACCTGTAAAGTGTTTAGAATTGCACTAACCTGCATGAAAGGTGCTATACAAACACAGTTTGAATGACTACCTCCGGAGTCCGGACTTGAAACTACAGCTTTAGGCTCAACAGTTGAGCTGCAGTCATTATCTTCTGTCTCATGTTTGTTCATTTTAACCTGCATCTTAAATAGCTTATGCTAATATCAATAGTAAAATATAATTTGATTCTTTGGACTCTACACATTGTAAGAATTGTGTCTTTCAAATAATAAAGTCATGCTTTCCTTATGCCAAACAAATGCAAACACATTTGTCTATGTCTTCAACTGCACACACATAAACACACACACACACAGATATTAATAAGCACCTGCTAGTCTCTGGAGCTTGTTCTGGGCATCTCTCAGTAGTTCCTTTGCTTCATCTCTGAGGCTCTCTGCCCGTTTCTTCGCATCCTTCACTGCCTTGGCCTTCGTATCAACCCGCTGCTGCACCTCATGGTATTTATCTGTCAGCTGGCCATCTAGAATCTGAGCATTAAGACAGCAGAGAGGTTTTTAATACCAGCTGTGCATGTTTTTAAAGAGACATACACACAGACACACACCTGTTTGGCTTCGTTTGCCTTATCTCGTGCCATGGTGGCTGTCTCTTCGGCTCGGGCCGCTGCCATGCTGTTGTTGGCACGTTTGGTCTTCAGGGCATTGATCTCTTGTCCCAGTGTCCCGAGGCGGTCCATGGCATCATTCAGGTTCCTCTCACTATTAGATGTCTCCGACTCAATCTGAGGACAGCAGGCACAGTGAACTCTGACCCTTCAGAAATATTACTGTTACATTTGCTTTTGTTGGATTAAGCACTGTGTTTTCATTATGTGCCAGGATGTGATGTCTCAAAATTGAGTCCTGGACATTGATGTAATAACCTCTATGTGTGTGTGTGTGTGTGCTGAATGCACATTGAACATCATTTTGCAAATGACACTTTTCATGTTAGGCATAGCATGTTTTTCCCCCTCTTTTTTTGGTTGGCTACCTGTGCCAGTCGGGCCTCGGTGTCCCCAATGTCAGCTTTGGCTCTGGCTATGGCCTTCTCTGCTGATGTCTGGGCATTCTTAGCATCCATCAGGGCCTGTTTCACTGTCTCTGCTGTGGTCTTCACCCCTTCAGCCCGATGCCTTAAAAATAACATTGTGTTACTGACAGTGAACGCTTTTAGTGTTGATGAATAAATATGAAACCCTCTTTGTTAGAACAAATAATTCTGTACCAATACATTTGTTCTAAGTGTGACTCTATCCTGACTACCTTGCCCTCTTGGCATCCAGCAGCAGTTGCTCAGCCTTGCGGACATCATCCTGCGTCTGCTCCAGGATGGCGTCCACATTCGAAAGACTGCGAACCCGTTCCTTGATTTCATCAGCAAGATGTCTGATCTGGAGGGGTGAGGCAGGGATGGAGAGCTCCAACACACGGTTCGCCACTGCCTCGATGCTGTCTGGGTCTGCGCCCTCCTCTAAGAGAACGAGAAGTGGCAAGGTTGACATAGGAGGGCAGCATGACTTTTCTACAGGTTCTTGGTTATCTTGTACATGTAAAATATATGTATAGCATAAACCCAGCAGACTCACGAGTAAGGAAGTCTCTGATCTGTTTGATGAGGTCTCTCAGGTCATTGTTGGAGCGCTCCACTTTGTTCTTGGTGGCGGTGGCTTTGTCCAGAGCAGCTTGAGCTTTACCCTTGGCCTGCTCTGCCTTGCTCTTGGCCTCTGCCACCTGAATGAAAGGCAGAAATGCTTATAGAGGACACAATATACTGACAAATACAAATTATTCACCATAGGTGCAGTCTTTACTAGCCTTCAGTCACCTAACTCAAGAATCATAAATAAAGTCTACTGGTTTAGGTTTAGTGTGCCCACTTTCACTGAAATCTGTTTTGTCTAAGTGCACATACGTCCCAGAACTTTAGGAGTGTACTGTAAAGTCTGAGCCCACACACAGGCACGAAAAGAAAGTGAACAACTATGGATGTGAATTAGTGTGAAACTATACAGTGTAAAGTAAAACTTAAAAACTTAAAATGCCTGCATTACTGTAAAATCACAGTGGCAAATATCTAATTAAAAAACTCTAAAAAGAACTGCAAGGGATTCCCCTTAATCTGGAAAACACTTGTAAATAAGATTCAGACAGAAATTCCTGGCTGCATTCCATTTGGGTCTAATGAGAAGTGGACAAAAAGCCTTTTCTGCCTCCAAAGATTTTCCCTCTGTATTTAAAATTGCTGTACAGACCCTGTTCCAGAAATGTGTTGAAAAAAACCAAAACATCATTATTAATTGTCTATCCTAACAAATGCTATATATTTTAAACAGTTGAAGTCCAGTAACTATAATTCTCATAGGCCTCCATACCTTGGTAAAGAGTCCCTCCACCTCTCCCATAGCTTTATTCAGCTCCTTCTCTGCGTGTTTTGCTCTCTCCAGAGCATTGTCAGCTACTGCTACAGCGCCGTTACAGTTTAGGCCTCCACAGTGACGGTTCCCTTCATCATCACGGCAACCTGCACCCCCACAAGGACTTTCCTCACAGGGAGCATCACCCGGTGCGCCGCAAACCTGTTGAGAACATGTAGTTTGTTGGTTGTATGGAAATGATCAGGTGCATGTGTGCCAGACACGACTGTCCCGCAAAGCCAAACAACACGTAACAACAACTTTGGTCAATATTGAGTTAAGACCAGAATGTGACATTTTGTTGTCTCTTTTAGTATCTAAACATTTCCCCACAATATGTACTGTAAAATATCTGTGAAAACACTGTTTAAAAGTGTCACAGAGACAAGCAGCTAGAAAGGTAAAGCAAGAGAGCTATAAAGCGAAAGCTAGCCAGTGATATAGCCGAGACTGGTCGTAGCTAAAGCTAAAACTAATTTACTTAGTTGTTAAACTGTTGATAATCCAACATCTTCAGTTTGCTATCCCAGTACAACATTATGGAAAAAGTCCCCAGCTAAACTCCTGCTGGGGATACACCCCAAGCTCAGTGTACAATCATCATATTCCATATTAATATTCGTGTGAATAGATGAACTTCTATTGTTTGCAATTAAGCAACATTACCTGTAATATTTGTAAAATAAAGTTTATTGTTTTAAACAAACTGGCCAGCTGAATGAAGATATGTTCTTTGTGGATACTGTTTTCCCTTGAAGGCTTAAAAAGGAATTTTATCTGTTATTCAGTGAAAATCCATTTCAGTGCTATTGTAATTACTTCTCTTTCCCTTTGTATGGCTGTAGAAAACTTAAAATCAGTGTTAACAGCTTCTTCAAATAATGAAGAATGTGCACAAACCTTCTCATTGATCTTCTTCATGTCCAGGCCCTGTGCTCTGGCATTGAGGTCTCCAAGTGCACGCTTGTTAGCTGCATTCTTGCGGTTGAAGTCGTCCTTCTTGGAGGCGATGAGGCGCTCGGTACGGCGGCGAGTGTCTGCAGATTGGCTGACTGTGCTGGGCTTGGTGGTTGTTGATTCATTGGCACGCCGCTCTGCATCACGCGACTTGTTGTAAGAGCTACGGATGCTGTCGTAAGCACCTAGAGGGAATAGTAGGACGAAAAGTAAATTTTCACTTAGCACAGTTCACTTTAATCGAATTGATGCTGAACTAATTTTTTAGGATTACTAGGGATTACAGATTCTCTACTCAGTGATAAAAAGGGGGAGAGGATAAAGAATAATAATGCTGCATGTGAGTTGAGGAAGTTGAGTAGGAGAAAGTGAAAGAAAGCTGACAGCAGCAGAAAGTGTGAATAGTTGAATAATGAGGATTCTTTTTCTCACCTAGGAAGTTGGAGTTTTTTAGGACATCCAGTTGGTGGTGTAGCTGCTCTGAAGTGAGGTTTAGTTCTTTAGCCTCTCTCTCCAGAGCACTCAGCTCCTTGCTTGCCTCAGAGTTGCTGTCCTGGACAATGGTTAGGTCTCCTTCCAGGCGGTTCAGGGTGTCAGTGGTCTCACCGATCTGCGCTCTGCAGGGCAAGACAAGCAGTTGTTGAGGGATGTACATTGTAATCCTGATTCCACGACCCCCATCAAGTATCACCATTTGATACTGTTACCTTATGACACAGTAAAAATTATGACTATATAAATATTTTCATATAGGCTGTACCTAAGATCTTCAATAAGCTCCATTAGAGTAGCGACTGCTGCAGCAGTGGCGTTGCGTGCGTTGACAATGCCCTGAGCTTGTGCCAGTTTCTCCTCCAGGTCTCTAAAGGCCTTCTCATAGGCCCCAGTAAGCCCAGTTGTCTGAATCTCATGGGCACGCTCTGCCAGAGTCTTGGTACGCACTGCCAGGTCCTGGTAATGAGACAAAATTGTGAAGAGAAAGATTGTGGTTGACTCTTAATCAATCAGTTATTCAACAGGGTGAAGATTAAATGCCCTTTGCATGACACTGCACCTGCACAATGCGATCCCAATCCCCGAAACACTGGTGACAGGGCTGACAGTTGGGGAACTGGCCGGAGAAGCCTCTGGCACACTGATCACAGCGGACACCCGACACCCCCTGCTGGCAAACACAGTGGCCGGTTACCCGGTTGCACTGAGAGGTCTCAATGCCTCGCCAGTCACAGTCGCAAGCTGGAAGGGGAGAGAGGGAGAAGGGGGGAGTGTGCAGTGAACATGGAACAACAAGACTTACTGTATAATGACTAAATATAATTTGTTTAAACTAAAGGTATCTTTGTTAACTGCAAAACAGAGTGTGCTATTTATTGATTATGAGGCTGCTGTAAGGCCTCTTACTGGTAAGTTGTGTCACTGTTCTGAAATGAACCACGATCAGAATTCTAATAAAATGCTCTAAAACATTTATTATCTTAAATATGGAATGCAATCATTTGCATCTAATAGTTCTTCATTTTCAAACAGTCTTGGTTATTCTGAAAATAAAATGCATGACATACTCATTATTTGAAGCTACTAAGTCCACTGAGAACAGCCTGTGTGCATACTAACTTCCACACCAAGTGCTCAAGCTGTAAAGACTGACAATTACATATTGAGGTGGACCGCCAGTCCACGCCTTTTTACTTGAAAAGTTTACGAACTTTTTTTGTAAACCGTGTCACAGCTCTTGTCAATCAGATTTATTTGTCTTTTTAATATGGAGTAGATATCTCCAATATATCTCAATTCCCTCTGAACACAGACATAAATTTGTTATATTAGGGCCTGCACTGGAGCAGTTTTGCAATGCATTCTAATTTCTACCTGTTTCCCCTTTTCTTTACCTGTTTTTGCTACTGCTGTAATGTCACTGAATAAACTCCTGTAACAGTAGCTAAAGCATTTTAGCAGACAGTTAACGCTAACCAAGTCCTAGCTGATGCTACCTATAATGTTTTAGTTTAGTTTGACATTATGAGAATATAGACGTGGCAGTTATTTTTATTATTATTTTTCGTCTTTCTGAATTGTTAATAGTTGTTGAGGAGGAGTGCCTGATGAACTAATGTACTATCTACTGCGCAACCCACCTCTCAGCCAGAGCAGCTATAAAGCCAAAGAGCACTTCACTTTTGCATCAAACCCTTTGCTGTCTTTATTATGCTCACCGCAACTACACCATTTCCCCAAAAGCATGTATTGTGTCTTAATGTTCCTAACCTCTGCACTGTGTCCTGGGGTCTCCCCAGTAGTTCTCCTGACAGTCTGTGCAGGTCTTCCCTCCAAAGCCGTCACGACACTGACACTGCCCAGTGAACTGCACGACAGAAAGTGGATAGGTACAGATAGATATAGAGCCATGGCACATCCATTTCTTTTGTTCCTGCCAGTATGAATATATTTATACTATCACGAGATTATTTGAATGTATTCAGATCAGAGCATTCCCTACCTCATTACATGAGGAGGTGACGGAGTTGTTGGGATCACAGCCGCAGGTTTCACAGCCCTTCCCGCTGGCCAGGTTCCAGTGGTTGGGGGCGCAGTGGTCACATGTCAGACCTATGACATTTGGTAGACACTGGCACTGCCCTGTGGTACGCTGACACACACAGTCCTCACGCTCCATACACTGGCTGCGTTCAGTACCCAGGAAGTTACACGTGCACTCTGAAGGACAAATAGGCAAAAAAACATGCCATAATTATCATAGTCCTCTTTTTTCATTAACATGAAAGTCAATCCTTTTTTGGGGGGGGCATTTTTTCGATGAACTCACTCCTGCAGTTGCGCCGAGAAGCGTCTCCAAAATAGCCGCTCTTGCAGATGCCACAGTTGGGGCCCTCAGTGTTGTAAAGGCACTTCCTGCACTCTCCGGTTTGCCTGTCACAAGCTACCATGTCTGACATATCTATGTTGTTGTTACACTGGCATGGTTGGCAGCGTCCTCCGGGCTGAGAGGGGTTGCCGTAATAACCGGGGGCACATTCCTCACATCGGGCACCTGAATCGGGAGAAAAAGAAAAAAGAAAAAGGAACAAGAGTTACAATAAGAAGGGAGGGGAAGGAGGAGATATAATAGTTGCTGCTTTTATGAGAAATGAAATATATTTGCAGTAAGCATGGGTGAAGTCCAAGCTGTTTTTAGGGTGTATGAAACAGCAGGAAGCAGGAAACTTGTGCATTTACAGCAGTAGAATCAACATGTAATCTTGTTTCAACAAAGTAATGAGGACCCTCCTTATAAGATGGGATTTTGTTCTAGATTGCAACTACAATATTTTCCGTGGATACTTCCATTGCATGAAACAGTCAGTCTAACATGGCAAAGCATGAATATTATTATATTAATACAGCATGTTACTAGAATCAGTTTCATTACTCATCATCACTCATTGGGGTTGGGTTAACTGGTTCTCATTAGTCACGTGTCTTTGTCATCAGACCCTTCTTCAGTAGAATATGCAACACATTACTATACTTGATTACATAATAGACTATAACATTAGACAAGAGTCATTTACGTTTCATGATTTTGTCATGATGTGTGAACGGTATGTGTGAAAACATCTGATAAATTTAAATCAGCGGTCAGTTTAAACTTTTTGTTTCCACAGGCGATAAGTTGTGCTGCCCCTGATTTGGATTAAGTAGCCTAGACCTCTACTCTATGCAAAAGAGAAGCAGCCAACAGGACACCTCATCTCTTGAAACAATTGGCACTACCAAAATGCATTGCATAGACAATGAATGGAAACAAAAATGAAATCAAACAAAATGACTGATATTTGTGGACAAGTACTATCAGTCTGCTTCAAGAAATTCCACAGAGACAGATATAACCACTATGGACACACCCCTGTCCTATCCCACACTGTGTAGCGTCTTGTGTTTGGTTAAATCTGTACCATATCTTTCATAAACTACTGCTATATACTGTACCCTACAGCTACAACAATAGTCAGGCAGAGTACTGGATTCTTTTGCCAGTGAACCGTTCGTTTTGTTGTTTTCTTTCACTGTTTCCCTCATACTTGGCATATTTGAATGTAGAAGAAAAAGGAAATTAGAGAAAGAAGGAATGAGAAGGTGGGGAGAGGTGAAGAGTAGGGCTGGCAGAGTAAAAGCTGAAGTACAGGGAGGATTAGATGAGAGCGAAATAGAAAAAAGAGAAAGTTGGATGAAGGTCAGGAATGAAAGAGAGGGGACGTAGATTCAGTGGTGAGCAGAAAGAGGTAAAGTTGGGTAGAAAAGTGTAATCAGCTACAGTTTTCTTCGAGTTTTTACAGTGATTTTCAAAAGTACAGGTCGAATGAGGTAATCGACCTATACTTTGGAAAGTCACTGCTCTCCGTTGTGCTTCACTTGAAAAGCCAGGCTGGTAAAAAAGGAACATCAGTGTACATACCAAGTTTTATGGCTATATTGTTGTATCAGTACAGCTCCTTTTCAGCTCTACTGAGAACATTCACGCAGCCCTGGTTCAAATCTTCTGTCAGTATCATTTTAGGGACAATAATTTGTTCCTTTAGTGCCATATAAAACACTGCAGTCACAGAAAAGTATTTGAAAGAGTATTCTTTGAGCCAGGCCTCACACATGGGCAGGAGTGCACTGTGGCACAGCAGCACTGCTGACGGGAGGGGTGCTGAAGCCATGCATGGGTAGGATTGGTAAAGTGGAGGGTTGGTGGTAGAGGATCGGGGAGGAGGAGTGGGAGGGACGGGGGTCAACCATCATTACTCACGCTTAAAAATGGTCACCCCGGAGCGTTTAACAATCCCTGTGCCAGTAATACAGGGGAGGGAGGAAATGACACAGGTTACCTTTCACTAGAGCCCACTGAGAAACATCATTCTTATCTCATTTGAGTTATATCCTTTGTCTTGTCATAAAGTAGAAGATTGAAGTTTTATTACTAATATTTTTCAGAAGTGCTCATAAAGATGGACTCTGCTAGACTGGTCTGCTATTAGCAATGGGTATTCATAGTCCCCAGAGGATGACTCCTTTCCTTTAGCATCTTTGTGATGTGTGCCAATTAGCTGATTAGCAGCAGAGCAAGCTAAAATGATACACTAATATGGTGAATATGATAAACATTATACCTGCTAAAGGATATCCTCAGAGCAGCTAGTGTGGCTGTAGTTTAAAGGTCCATCTCAATCAGTGAGGTTATTTATACTGTAACATCAGCTCTTTCTTAAACAGAACTCCACTTAGCTACAAACCATACTAATGATGAACTAAAACTAAGTGAGAAGAAATGTCACTACCCAGTTCTATAATGTTCAGGTGTTCAACAGGTGTTCACAATGTCACAGGTTCTGTAGAAAATGAATCACCCTCTTTAGTTACAATGAATTTCTATGTTAAATTTATTGTAACTACAGAGACATGTGGACACACCGATGACTTCCTCAGCATCACTTTCTGAGGACAAAAGGAGACACAGAGCAGAAAGCAAGGGCTATTGGAAGAGGGAGGAGAACAGAAGAAAATGCAGAGACAGAGCAAGAGTACAAGCATCGTCTGAGTTTCACCTGTGTAACCCTGGTTACAGTTGCAGATAATTTGTCTGTTGCGGTTGTCCTGGTAACAAGAAGCAGCAAAATGGCGTCCACTGTGGGGCCCATCTGGACAGGGGCATGGACGACACTGACCACTGGACGCTTTGCCTAAAACTGGGTTACCATAGTAACCGTTGGCACACCTACAGAAATGACAGAAGGGTTTACTCAGTTAAACACTTGTGATTAAAGGATTGAGCTGGAATGAGGAATATGCAAGAATACATGAGTCTACATTGAGTCTAAATTGATTTAAAGCTGTTCCATAACTACAGAAACACAAGAACAAAAACGTTTTCAACTTAATTTAATAATAAAGAGTTATTTTGTGTACTATAAAAATCCTGTGAACTATGAGTAACTGTAACTGCTAACGTTTTTGTATTCAAACTTGTCTTTTAGCAAATAAGAAGTAAGGAGTTCTGATAAACACAACTACACTTACTTTCTTTGCCCCCATATGACTATGACTTAACACTGAAACATCACCTGTCACACTTGTCTCCTCCCGTGTTGTCCCTGCAGCGGATGCAGGCTCCGGTCCTCTGGTCGCACTCGTCAGCATGTCCGTTACACTGGCAGGGTCTGCAACTGGGGAAGCCCCAGTAACCTGCCTGGCATCCGTCGCAGTGCTGACCAAATGCTCCCGGACGACACTGACACTGACCAGTGAACTTATCACAAAGTCTTGTCACAGAGCCTTCCAAGCTGCAACCGCAGGCTGGACGGAGGGAGGAAAAGGAAAAGGAGAGAGTAAAGGAAGGAGGAGATCCCAGGAAGTGAGGTGAAAAGGAGAAGGAAAAGATAAGAGATAAGTATGATGGGAATAATTAACTTGAGTAAAGGGGCTTCAGATGTTCAATTATGCACTCAAACAGTAGAGGGCGCCAGCAGCATAGCATATAACTAATCAAAGGCACTGCACAGTCACTTTAATTTGTAAATAGAATAAAAGAACAAAATGCATGCATATAATTGTCAATATTGAGCTCAAGCAATCTGACTGAAATTTTCCAGTAAAACTGCTTCATTAGCTGTTGTACAGTCTGTATCCTACTAAGCCCTTCCAGGGAAAGTTGAAAAACCCAGCCAGCTCAAGGATGTAAAATATGGAAATATTGTTATGTTACATCATATCATCCATAAAGGCCCAGAGCTCCTCACCTATGCAACCCGAGGGTCCAAAGCCGTAAGTTCCCGGAGCACACTGGTCACAGCGTCGACCAATCACATTGGACCTGCAGCGGCACTGCCCCCCGCGGACATCACACATGGAGCTGATGGACCCCTGAAGATCGCAATTACAAGCTGGAGGAGGACAGAGAAGCACAGGCATGAAGTCACTGAACCCTAATATATGGGAAAATCATGCACATTGAATTCTGAGAACAAGAACATATCTATATGACTGTAAGGTTAATGTGATTCATTTACTTTAACAGGTCCCCAAAGTCCAGCTGTGATTAACATTTTCCTCACTTTTTGTGTAAGGAAATAGAAACTATGATGATACTGCAGCTATTGTGTATAGCTTTAAATTCTTATGCTGCTAAATGTTCCACTATGTCCACCAGCTAGTCACTGAGTCTGTCTGTCATTTGGTGCTGGGCAGGTAGTGTACAGAGTTGTTTCACTGAAAACAGCTGCTTACTACAGCTGAAAACAACACTTTGAGAATGAATGAAAAGTTGTGGGCAGAACAGCTTAACAATAAGCTGAAACTCACTTCATGCTATACCAATGTGAAACTTAACTTTCTGGCTTGGCTGTGTCCCACTAGATGAATTTATAGCAGTTGAGCACCATTATAATATTAAAAACATATTTAAGGCCATTATCCTATCTAATACCTGGCTGATGCGCATGCAGAGGAGAAGAGCAAGTAAATGTAAAAGTAAAATGGTCTAGTAAAAAATCTGAAGAAATCTTAACCAATAATAAATAAATAAATAAATAAATAAATAAATACATACATACATACATACATACATACATACTGTCAGTCAAACAAGGCAAAAGCATTTTAATGAAGCTTTATCACTCACGCAGAGCCCCGTCATTTATGATGGCTGACATGCTGGTGATTAGCTTGGCACAGGTGTCGCTCATCAGCGGGCGGGTCACACTCTTCGCCCCCTCGTGGCAGCGATACCGCTCATAGGTCTGCTTCCTGTTACTAGAAGCTGGATCCCCTGTATTGAACATTTCCATGGAGGAGTGGCGTGGCATCAACGCAATCTGGAGATGAACAGGGATTTATGGAAAGGAGGAGAGAGGGAGATGTTTGTGTGCAGAATGAAAACTACACTTTCTTAATGAGTCAGATGCTTATTTTAGAGAAACTGGAAAAAGAAATTCGTCTCACCGAGTCCACAAGGAGAACAGCGTTGGCCGCTCCATTGAGGATACTGTTGGCGTCTTGATAGCGTCTGAACTCAAAGCGGAGGGTGTAAGTTACACCTCTCTCCAGACACACAGGCTGAGGAGGAACCATAAACCTGGAGCAAACACAAGCAGCAAACAGCTGACACTCAGCTATTTTTTTGTGTGTGTGTGTGTGTGTGTGTGTGTGTGTGTGTGTTTGTGTATGTATGCATGAGTGTGTGTGTATGCTTAAGCCACAGACCTGGCTCCAGCAGGCAGGGAGACAGTGAGTCTGTCATCATCTGGAATGGTGTTTCCACAGGGGCTGCTGGTAGGAATCGGCCCCGGACGGATGACTGTTAGTCTAACCTCCTCCCAGTCTCGGGGCATCTAGGTAGAATCAGCGTAAACATGGGTAAACATGTCGTCAAAAGAAAACTGATCATGAAACATAAGTGTGAAAATGGAAGTGGGACAGTTACAGTGAATGTTAACATGTACATGTATCATGTATGATTTTATAGGCAAAGGGCTGAAACACGCAAAACCACCAGCAAGATGCTCCTTTAAGGTTATTAGTCAGTGAGATATATAGTTTGAAATTGGATCTTATTGGCAAGAAGAAGAGATTGAATACCAGGCTGACTAATGTTCCTGTTTCTATCGGAGAAAGGCAAAGCGTCCCAAAGCTTGCCGGTGTATTTATAACCTCCCCCAAAAGAGACTGTCCACTGTCATGAGTGTGTCTCCACACTCTGACACGGAGTGGGAGGGTGTAAGGGCCGGATTGGAATTGGGCTTTCTTGTTAGCGTGAGTTTGGCAGGCAACTAGCGGAGAAAGTCACTACTCTGGGACTATAAAAATCCACTCTCCACTCTCATATTTTAAGAAAAATGTATGAGGGTATCGACTTTCTCAGCAAGAGAGAGAAGAAGTGTATATCACAAATGTTTAATTAATCCTTTAGTCTGCTACCAGCAGAGATGATGAAGGCACACGTACACATACATACACACACACACACACACACACACACACACACACACACACACACACACCTGTGACTCATAGCGGATAAGCAGGTCATATTCCATGGAGTAGGGGACGTTACTGATGAGGAACTCCAGGGTGCCACCCTCAGGTACCCGAGCAAACCCAATGCCCGTCCATGTGGCGGGCCGACCTGGTTGGTGCTCCCTGGTCTCCAGTGTACTGCCCTGAGAATATACAGACGTATTCAGATATATTTTTAAATATCTTTTCAGACTAAAGCCACAGAATCCCTCCAATATAAATGTGTGCTAATAAAGAATACAGGTGGTCTCACCTGCCCCATTTTGGCCAACTCCGCCTCATAAAGGAAGTGATCCAGAGCCATGAAGAAATATCCAGACTCCACCTGCATACACTGGCGTCCTGTCATGTGACTGCGGCAGCGACACTGACCGCTTTCCATGGAGCAGCTACAGATAGGACATAAATAGCTTTGTTATTTCAATGCTACAGCTGATATTAACAATTATTATTTCAGGTTTTACTGTTAATCTTTTAAATTAGGGGTAGGGTTAGTAAAATCATAATTACAGTCATTACTACCTTGTAACAAGACAATAAACAATTAAAAACAAGTGTCTACAGCCATGCTAGCAGCTCTGTGAGGCTAAATGTTAAATGTTAACATCAGCATACTAACATGCTCACAGTGCTAACGTGCTGATATAATGTTTACCATGCTCACCATCTTACATCAGCAGGTCAGCATAACTAACATTAGATAATCAGCACTAAACTCAAAGTAGAGCTGAGACTGATGGGAATGCTATTAGTTTTGTAAGTACTGGATCATAAACCAAAGTATTGGACATATTGAAATTCTGAGCTGGTAATAGCACTGGACGAAGTTAGAAGATCACCAAATTTATTACAATTTTCATGGCAATGCAATATTTGTTGAGAAATTTCACTCATAACCACAATTGGTGGCATTAGAGAAAAATTCAGGGGATCATCCTCAGTGGGTTTCATCCTCTAGGGAATGATTAGTATGTGTACATATTTCCATGGCAAAAGATCTTACAGTTGATGAGATATTCCAGTTTGGACTAAAGTGTTGGGTGGATCTACATTGCCATCTCGTTAGCGTGGCTAACAAGAGCAAAACTGCAAAATTAACCGAATTACTGTATGATGTTTGAATAGAGGATGTCAACTTCTAGTGGCACAGCCAATTAATCCGTTACAATTAATATGACTGGCGGTATGACAAATTATAGCCCACAGGGTAAAGGTAGAGATCAGTAAATCAGTACACAAAGCTGTAGCTTCTATTGTAGGCAATTAATTGATATCTGAGTGTTATGTCTCAAAGATAAAAACATCTGTAAGGGGCCTCCATGCTATGTAATGTCATTTGTAACAGCTTCATACTTGACGTGTGACCTGTGACTCAGGATTAAAGCGACAGTATCACTCACTGGTTATCCAGGGCTCCTCCGATATCACACTCGCAGCCCCTGCAGCCGTTCAGGTCGTGGCTCAGAGCCCAGTGTTCTGGCTAGAAATGCAGAAGGACAGACAGAGGGCAGAGTGATTGACAGACAGAAACAGAAGGCGACACAGCAACCGCTCAACAGTTGAACAGATAGACGTAATGCATTGCTCTCTGGGAACTTCCGCTGTCATAAGTGTGAGTCATACTCTCACCATCTATCTAGCTCTCTAATCCAATAAAACAACAATCATAGCTTTGGGGCATATCATTACTGCCCGTTTCCTTTCAGTTGACATTGTGAGATTTTCCTCTCTTTCAAAAAGAGCTGACATGACAGTGGGAATGCTGGATTTATTTTGCAGTCAGCAATCTTTTTATCTTGAGTATGTTTTGGCTGATGTATTTGTACTTAGCTAAGTTTTGTGGTTTCTCCCTCAGTGTTATATAAGAATTTGGTCACTTTTATATTTATTTGCAACAATCCAGTTCAAGTTTGTGGACAAAACTCATCATCCATCCATCTACAGTAATACTGGTCTGTGGCTGGCTGTCTTCTTGTTAGCTATTTGGAAGGCGAACAAGGGAAACTCTAAGGCAGTAATGACATGAACTTTTTTCTTTGGTGAGTCAGCTTCTTTTTCTGTGTAGGTGGATATTTATACTGGTATTATTTATTTATTTGTTATCAAATATGTTTTTACCACAGTGCAGTACTTTTTCTTTTCTGGAGGATTTTTCAATTCTGTCCAATGTTGACATAACATTATTGCCACTAAAAGGAGGGCTAATCAGAAGACAAGATCCACTTTCGGACCAGGTCCAGGCCCTGGCCATTTTAGGCCTGCTGTAAGTCACACCAACCGGACAAGCCTCAAATCCCTGGGCTAAATTTAGACACAGGGCCCAGGCAGGAGCTCACATTCCTGCCTACACTATTCCTGGCTGAGTAGGTTTAGGACAAGAGGTTGAATTATAACAGGAAGCTGATCTGAGCTGAGCTAACATGGGCTGCTGGACTGAAAGTGTGGGAGGAAAATATGAGAAAGAAACAGAGAATGAAGAAGATCAGCAACACTAATTTAGAAGCTAAGAGGAAATGAGGAAAAGGAAAGATACAGGTGATATGGACCTTGGAGTGAAATGTAAGGGGAAAGGAAAGTGACAGAAGTGGTCAAAACAGAAAGAGGAGAAACCGGAAATATATCTGAGGGTTTTTCATCCACTGTCACATTACCAACAAATAGGGGTTATTAGCAGTGGCAGGGAGTGAGTGGTGGTGAGAGAGAAAACAAAAGTCAGGCCAAAATAACACATTCTTTTTTACAGTCTTACCAAACACTGGTCACAGCTGCGTCCAGTGACAAGACGCTTGCAGAAGCAGTCTCCACTGACTGGGTCACACTGGGAGCTGCCTGACACTGTTCCCCTGTGGTCACACTGGCATTCTGGCAGCACAGGGTAGGGTAGAGGGACAGGGTAGAGGGCAAACTGTATGAGGATTCTCACAGATATATAATTAGTTGTTGCAGCACATAATAAAGCAAACTTTTATGTGACCCTGATTAGCAGATATATATTATTATATAGATATTATAGATATATATATATATATATTTGTATTATTACAAAGGCTAGCATGCAAGGGCAGTCCTTTCCACTGAGGATGTGGGGGGGACATCCCACTCACTTTCCCCCTCACACCACTTTCACAGTTTTTGCTTGATTCATTCACTAAAGTCACTACAGAAAATGTCTTCTTTCTGTTCAGTAACCTAAAGTGGTTTAATTTTCTTGCACTGCATTTCGCCTCTCAGGCAACATACAGTCTGCCCTCTCCTCTGGAGGTTGTATGCACCTTGAGAGGAAGGACCTGCAGACACTACTCAGAGCTATAAAACATCCCAACCTCTTGTATTTTTGGGGAATAAAAAAATAATATTAATATATAAATAATTTAATCAGTTTTTGTTTATAGATAAGTCTCCCAAAATGTTGCAAGATTTGAAGACCAATCAAAGATAATGCACCAAGGACAGTGCCCATTGTAGTAAATATGGAAACATGAGGTTGTTGTATGTTGGATATAGTAGGCTGTTTGTCATTTTTTAAATAACATTATAACATTATTAATCACAAAGTGCCAGGGGTCTATCTGGGACAGTAGGTAATTATAAGTTTAGATCATTAATGATGCAGGAATACTTGTGAAACCAAACCTATGTACTTGCTCAGAGTGACCTCAGAGAGTGGAAATCTGGGTCACTGTAACATTTCTATGTTTGTGTGAGTTATAACAGAGACTGTACTCACGTTGGCAGCCCTGGGGGTTTTCAGCACTCAGGCCAAAGAATCCGGTCTTACACTTGTCGCAGCGCGGCCCCTCGACATTGGCTTTGCAACGACACTGACCTCCCACCATGCCGAGGGAAGGGTCAGTGTGGCTGTCGCACATCCCTCCATTCTGGGAACCATCTGGGTCGCAGTCACACGCTATGGGACAGACGGGTGCCAGACAAATCTTAATGCATGAAGGTAAGGTACGGTAAACTGAAGGGATGCATATCTACACTTAGTTAAGTTTGTGTGGTTTTGCATGTTGTGAGTTGATAGTACAGTCTGTTGGAATTAGATTTTAAATGTGGTAAATAAAGAAATAGAATGCACATTTATAACAGAAAAATAAAGCAGGCACTCACCACATTTCTTCACACAACCATACACATTATTGTATACACAGCGATTGCTGCCAGCAGTATGCAGCTTATACATTTTTTTTTTTTTTCCAGAAAATGCCATTACAGGTTTTTCAGACACACACTCACCTATGCAGACACGTTGGTCCCTGATATCTTTAATAGGGTCTTTGTAGTAGAAAGGTTTGCACATCTCACAGTTGCGTCCCATGGTGTTGTGCTGACAGTCATCACACACTCCTCCGCTGACATTTCCAGTGGCCAAATACACCGCCATGTCAAAGTGACACAGGTTCGAGTGGCTATTGCAGTTACACTCTAGAAAGAAAACCTTCAAGCATCAATGATTTTTCATTTTCACCATTATCCACAGACAGAGCTGTAAAAAACTGTTTGTCAGTTAAAACCATTAGCCTTCTGACAAATAATAGATTAAAAAGTGTCAGTTCATGCAATCTCTTTTTTATTAATCCCTATTGGCTAATAAATCTGTGATGTTTTTGCACTGCACTTAATGTCCCTTTTGCTTCCTTCCTCCTCTGTACTCACTCTTGCAGGCGTTGGTGTTGCGTCCCTCGGCTGGTCTCCACGGCAGGTCGTTGTAGAAGTCATCACATTGCTCACAGTTTAAACCCTTGGTGTTATGGTTACACACACACCTGCCATGGACCTTAAAAAGAGATGGGAGGGGAAGTTAAGGCAATCTATATGAGATGAAGAACCAAAAGCTTTAAAATTATGAGAGTAAATTACAGGAGAGAAACTAGGGGAAAAACTGCTAATTAAAAGTGTGCACTGTAACTGAAGCCTCATCACTCACCATTCCTTCTATATCATCCCTTATGCCATCGATGGGGGCGCACTCCGAGGCGTGGCCATAGCAAAAGCAGTTTCCACGTACGACAAGTTCATAAATGGCGTAGTAGTACTTTTCTTTGATCTCAGCTCTTGGGTCCAGCAAGTTGTCTCCCAGTGTGTGAAGCTTGGTGAAGTTTACTCTCAAGTTGGTAATCTTCAGCTGGTCTGTTGGGAAGAGGACATGAAGAGAATAAGTTGGAAAGGAATAGAAGGCTGGCATGTAATCAGAGTAAAGCTTCCTTTCAAGTGGACACTCGAGTTTAGTTTAAGTGTTTGTGTTATATGAAGGCTGGTAGTGTGAGGATGGATGGTATGTCAAGGAAACAAGTGAGAAAAAAGATGGAGAACAGCAGCTAAGAAACAAGTTAAAAGTACAAGCAAATACACACACACACACACACACACACACACACACACACACACACACACAGACACACACAAACACACACACAGCGCAAAAGCCCTATTGCTCCAACAAGAGGAAATCAAGTCCAGTGGAGCATGACAGAACTGAGTATGTGGCACAGCATTATGGGTGAACAACAATACAGTAGATTCTGATGGGTATGTCATTAGTTTTGCAAGTATTTGGTCATAAACCAAAGTACTGGAAAATGTTAACACGCTGGTGGCGCTAGATCAAAGGTAAGCATATCACCAAAAGTTAGGAGGCATCCTCCAAGCATCATATCTGTACCAATATTTTAGTAGTGGCCCAACCAGACGACAGACCAACCAACCAACCATCATTGCCACCCCTATTATAACATGGCTAGCATGGCTAGTAAAAACTGAAAACCTACAACCTTACAACTTTAATGTGACATGACTGGCAACCTGGTAAGGAGATGTGTTATCCACGCACAACCTTCTATATCTATGTCTTTATCTAAATGTGAGAACAATTTGGATTTTGTCAGCCAACTCATATTGGCAGCATAGCAATAGTTCAGGCAGAGCACTGAAGTCGCGCTGGCATCAGCTGTTTCATTCATGCTTCACAATCACTGGCTCATTCACCGGCTATCAGTTGATTTGTCACATCCACTGATATTGATGCCGGTGTGCAGTGCAGCCACTATTCACTACTGCTTTGCTGATACCGTCATCCCAGCAGTGTTTGCAGCTGCAGCTCCACCCACCACCCCAACCGCCTCCTTATGTGCCCGATTTTTGGCATTGGTATTTACTATAAAGGTAATCTTTGTGAATGTGTTTGTTTAAGGGGGATTAGCTCACCAGAAGAATCCTTGTGGCTGCTCGAATTCTTTGAGATCTCCCTGAAAAAAACAGAACCTTCTCCACTAAATCTTACTGTATAACCATTTGTTATAAATAGTCAGTTCCTTTAAGTAGGTATCTCTGACTGAACTGGACAGCCTCTCCATATATCCACCAAGACACCACCCAAATATCATTTATGAGTTTCAAGTATCAAGTATTTCCAGTAGGGGGTTAATCTAAAAATGATGGACAATAACGGAATGTGGTGTTGAAATGGTTCTTCCCACATCCTGCCTCTTTATCCTCTTAAACTGTTTGGTGAAAATTCCTAATAAGGAGAAAGATAACGCCTTTCCAGAGAGATATGTCTGTCTTTTCATCCTGTCAGTCTGCCGGAATAGCTCTGGTCAGAACATCCCCCACTGTTACAGTGCAGCTGTTCACCAGTAGTCATCAACACAGACACACAAATAAATGCTGATGTGCCAAAACACACAAGCATACCAACACATTTTCACAAGAGCACATACTTTCCTCTTCTTTGTCATACACAATGCTTCTGCTTCCCAAGGGCCTACTTTCCCATGTCAACAGCAGAGGAAATATGCCTACACTAGTGGGCCACAGACTGAACACCAATGATAACCAGTGTTACTGAGAATCTCTGGTTTAAGAGATAATAAATAAAAGTAACACTTAGTTTAGTGTTTAGTAAATGAGGCACAAAATTATGTGGAAATTTTAGTTTTCATTATCAACGTGATGACTATAATTATAGGTATTATGAACATTTATAATTTTGCATCAGAGCAGCTGCTGCCTCTTTACAAACTGTTCTTCCACACAAAAAAGGAAATACCTTGTTCGTGACCAGCATTTAAAACCTTTTTGCTTCCTGAGTTTCGTTTCTTGTCATTTTGAATCCTGCTGGAGCTGAAGTGGCAGTACTACAATAAGATGGATGAAATGTTTCATGGGAGGCTTTATTTTCCAAACTCTCACCCACCGACTTTATCTACAGTAATAGAATCCCTCTCTGACAGTCAAGAGCTAATCCCTCCAGCTCCACTGCACTAAGACACTGTCTGTTCCTCCTCATGCTGTAATAGCAGGAAAACAGTCCTCCAACTCCGCCAGCAGCAACTGCAGCAGCCAAACAGCAGCCCGAAGGCTCAGCCTGAGACGGACATTTATTACCATTTACGTCCAACTGAATGTGTAAAGAGAAGAGATGAAGGTGATTGGTGACGCAATTTAAAAATCAAAACTAAAAAATCTAACGTTTTCTGCTGTGTAATCAATTACGGATAAAGAGACTTCCTGAAATCCAAAAACAGGCTTTCACAAAAAAACAAGGGTCTTCAGTTAAGCTAGCGGCTCTGTCAGACTATATTTACTGTAGACATAGTGCTACGTCAGTAAGCAAAAATGTTTACAATGACAAAAGCTGATGTTTGGTTGGTATAATGTTTAGCATGTTGGTTACCATCTTAGTTTGGTGCTTTAGCATGCTAGCTTATCCTAAAGAGCTGCTTGTCCTTCTACTGCTTTTCTTCTTTATTGGCTCACTGTGAAATTTGAATTTTGTGTGAAAATGTAGGAAGTCAAAAATGCTTTTGCTAAATTGAGATTGAAACGTGCTAGCACTAACACATAGTCCTATTTCGTATTTTTTATATTTAAAAAAAGCCTATATTTTTTCCCATTTTGGCAAATTGGCACCATTAAATGCCAAATTCGCCAATAGCAGTTCCTGTATGTAGTGTTCCCATGAATGTACAGACAACAATTACTGAAAACAATTTAAAAATGTGATGATTCTCAGGTTTTTTCTATGATTTCTATGTTGACTTATGGACATTTATTTGCTATGGACATCGGAGATAATGATATCTTTGAGACGTGTAAGTCACCTGAATTATATCAGTGTGTTAATACAAAACATTGTACTGAAATTAGCTTTTTACTATTAGAAAATAATACTGGCTGAGAGTAAGGACGCAGCAAGTGGAACTGCCCCCGAGCTGCTTCAGTGGACTTAGCCCCAGTACATGGGGTGCACACTCCCCCAGGTAAGCTAACGGGGCACCCCCTGCAAGTAACTTCTTCCCAGTTTGTTGTAACACAGAGAATCAGTCAGACAGAAAATGATTCTTTAGGATTTTTTGTTCTTGCCTCCTCTGAGGCTGTGTAATATCCCCAAAATGTCTCCACCAGTCAAATGCTTTAGTTTATAAATGGCCATGGTTAGAGTCAGTGCTGTGATTTGGGTTATTGTCTGCCAATCAAAGAGGCAGAATATATATAGAGGAAGGTTTGTCTGGAAGGCTAAACTATACTAAATTACTCTGGACGTTGATTTATTGTCTTGACAACAGCAGACAGTGAATATGGATTGTTCAGCTGTGAGGGGGTCAGGGGTCTTCATGTGGGTCAGTTACAGTGAGATATTTAGCAACAGAACAAGGCAACCTCTGCTGCTGCATTGGAAACTGAGCTCAGGTTTCTGGGAAAAGCTCTCATGTCCTGCCAGTCTAAACATGAGGGCTAGGACAGTGAGGCTGTGTGGGAGAGAAACAGCTGCTTTTCACATCTCTCCATGTCTTCCACACAGCAGGGCCATGTTTCACACCCCAGAGAGAGGAGCTGTTACAATCCGTAATGTGTCACAGCTGGATAACAAGAGCTAATTGTGTCAGCTGGAGTTTGATTTATGATGACAAATGTGAGTTTAGCTCACAAAAGAAAAGGATAGAAATAAACTATAATGATACTGAAGCTATTGTAGGAATAAGAGAATATTTGTGGAAACAAATACATTTAAATTCACTTACAGTGGGTGTGACTCATGGCAGTGGTTGACTGACACCTAAGGGCTGGGATTACTAGGAGACATGCTGTCAACTTCTGTGGTACACTATTAACCAGAAAACACCTGTAAAGCCTACAAATATTGATACAGTACATTCTTTTCCACATAGCATTTGTTATGTCCATTTTAAGACGCAACTCAAGACATCTGTCCCTTTACAACGTTCAACATTTGGGAGGACCCATTGAGCTAGCATTAGCACTGATTCCCACCAGATTTTACTTTTTTTTCTGCTGGAAACTCCTACACACATACCCCCATATGCATATATATAATAGGAGGGAGTCTAGCTGGTATTCTCTATCTAAGTGGCAAAACCCACAGGAAAGGGAAGCCTTGTAAACAGTGTATTATGCTTGTCCAACTTGACCTTGGTGTGTTGCATCGTGAGTGTGACCTACTCTGTATGTTCGGGCTGTATGGATCCTCAATCCTGATGGCTGGATCCAACACTCTGTAGATGACCTAGGCCAGGACATACATATTATGCAGACACATTACATATTTGAACTATCTGAGACTTGGAATAAGAATAAAATACGTAGCAGCATATGCAGCAGGCATCTGAATCAGACTTCATGGACTGCATGCCTGAGCAGTATTCAATGTGTGCACTAAAGATTTTAGTTGTGCTTTTAACTTTGTGTTGCGTTGTCAACTTTGTCCTCTCTGTTAGTATGTTTTCTTCTTGCTAAACATTGCTTTCAAATGCAGGATCTGTGAATTAAAAAGTTTTATAGTATATAGTATAAGGATGGAACTGAACACTGACCATGTGATGATCTATTAAAGTCAAGGCATTAAAGGAATAGCTCAAGAGTTTTGAAAATACAGAGAGTTAAATGAGATGATCAAAACCATTCTCATGTTTGTGAGATTAAATAAATCTGCTGATGCCTTTATATTTTAACATGTGATATCTATACACAAACTGCAAAAACAACAGATACTGTTTGGACAGAGTCAGGCTAGCTGGTGTCTACTGAGAGCATTAGAAGAATCAACATAAGGGAGCTGTTTTGATCTTCTCATCTAATTCTCGGCAAGAAAACAGATAAGCACATTTCTCAAAATGAAAACTATTCCTGGTAGTAGTGTTTGTGTGGCCACAGCCATCAGAAAGCTTTAGATCCAAAAATGTGGAAACTTTCACATCTAAAAACATGTATTCTAATATCAAACCATTTCAATTTCTATTCACTAAAACAGAATAAGCTTTAGTGTTCATCTTGAGCAACTAATTTGACCTGTCATTTTGCTTTATTCCTTTAATCAATCGCTCACCTCTCCCTCTGTTGACGGCTCAATGTCAGAGTAGCGTGACTCACAGATGACATCATTAATGTTACGCAAAGGACCCTGGGACACTCCGCGAAAGGTGGCAGAGCAGTCGTGGGAAAAGTAACGGTAGACCTGCCAGGTACGACCAAAATCTGCTGAGCGTTCAATCAGCATGGCCGCCGGACGGAAAGTCTGCAAAGTAAAAGCACAAACCAAATGGCGCAGCAAGTCATTATTCTCAGCTACAAGTTGGTACAGGTCAATAAGCCAATGACGAGAGTTTCAAACCTACCTTAAAGGTCATAATCAGGTGAGTGAAATGAAACTCTGCTTCCAGATCCAGCTGGACAAAGACCTCCGACTTTCCTGGGAGAGAGCGGCACAGAGAGAGTGACAGAGAGAAAGAGAGTTTACATAAAGCCAACATTTTACATTCTACAGTTAATGACTGTCAGTTAGATTGTATCAATAATTCATTAACCTCTTGCACTCATTTTCCATCTATATCATCAAATTCTGACAGATGGATGACAGAGAATAATAGCTAGCTGGAGTAAGTGAAGTTGCAACCGTGCTTTTGGCTTGAGGAATGGCATCTTGACAGGAAAAGGCCTTCAGACTTGGCAGGAGAAATGTAGACAGCGTGTCGGAAAAGCCCACACACTTCCTGAGCTGTAGAGCACCAAATATTCTGAAGGGCCACTTTACTCCGAGGAGCACTTTCACTGTTTGCCTTTGTGTTTTTGTATTACACATATATTACGCAGCCAAGAGGACTTTCCCATTCCTACATACTAATACATAAAAGCTTCACCACATGAATTTTGCATTTTACAACTTAACACTTTACAACCCAATCATTTTTAAACTGGTGATTTGAAAGGAAACCACAACACATATTTTTCATACGAACATGCAAAAGAAAAAAAAAGACTAAAGGAGAATTTGTTTTGAAGTCTACTCAGTTACATGTTTTGCAAAAACACATGTGCCTACACACATCCATGTATCCTGGGGAATCACCTTTTCAACATTTATAACTCGCAGGTAATAACAGTGTGAATGTGCGTGGCATACAGTACTTTCCAGGCATATTGGTAAAAGACCAAACCAGAGCTACAGAGCAAAGATACAGTAGATGGTATCCTATGCTATCTATATGGTTAACCTGCATATTAAAGCTGCACTAATCGATAATTTTGTCTAAACAATGGCTCAAATGTGTCATGCTAAATATGGTGTAGTAATGAACCCACATAGACTAATCACCCAACTTCGAGCCTTTAGTGTCTTTCAGCTCATTGTTGTGATTGTATTATAACTTAACTGTTGTGATTCACTCTCACGTAATACCTGCTAATGTTGCAGGATGAATAAACAGGCAACTGTTTGCTAACACATTATCTATATTAACTTTAGGCCACATATATCAAATGTGTCTGTGTTGTTCCGCTTATTGTGAAGTTCTGCCCCTTACCAAAAGTAAAAAAAACTTCTAGCATCTGCTATGCTGAAGGGAACATTATTTTTTAGAAAAATATCAATTTACTAGTGTGAGATTTTTGTAGCATTAAAGCCAAGTGATATTTAAGGTTGAATTGTAAGCATTAGTAACAGTGTTGTGTAGGACTAATGACATTTAAAAAAAAACTGATGAACCTGAGCTGCCAGGATACTGTATTCTGTGTTTCTACACTGAGTGAACATAGTGAATGTATTATTTAAAAAAAGTAATTACCATTACAGCAGGTGAATAAAGGAAAGCTTGCATGAAAGTGTTCCAAAACTAAAGCGGCTGCATTGGCTAGATGAACTTTTTGAGTTAATACCTGGACTAATAGACCAACACTACTCACAAGTCCACGACTTACAGCTCCATTAGCTCTGGGCTTTCACACATACACCGATCAGCTATAACATTATGACCAGCTGGGCACCCTGGTGGTCACAATGTTCTGCAGTCCCATACCAACAATCTGTGATGCATTGTGTGTTCTGACCCCTGTTTATCAGAACCAGCATTAACTCTTTCAGCAGTTTGAGCTACAGTAGCTCGTCTGTTGGATCGGACCACTGCAGACCGGGAACACCCCACAAGAGCTGCAGGTTTGGAGATGCTCTGACCCAGTCGTCTAGCCATCACAATGTGGCCCTTGTCAAAGTCACTCAGATCCTCACGCTGCCCATTTTTCCTGCTTCTAACACATCAAATTTGAGGATAAAATTTTTACTTGCTACCTGATATATCCCACCCACTGACAGGTGCTATGATAACCACTCACCGTTCACTTCACCCGTCAGTGCTCACAATGTTCTAGCTGATCGCTGTATGTCTTGAAATGTGAGATATCATGACTGTCAGCACAGTGTTTAGTTTACTATAACTTTGTTATCCCTAAAAATGATCCAGTTGTTCCCAACCTTTTTCCTTAAGAGACCCCTTTTCTATTACTGAGTAAACCTAAATTACTGACTAGGTAAGATATTTTATGGATATTTCATATTATATTCAATGCAACAATAACAGTAGAGAACAACTGATAAACTGCACAATGAACCCAAACAGTGAACACAATAACTGAAAGACAATGTTAAAATGTGTTAAACGAGCAATTTGTATGAATTTTGAACAGATTATTTCCTGTGAATACTGCATCAGAGGGTGGTTTTCATGATATTTTTTAGAAACTCTTCTCTGTCTGTATTAGGTGTGTTTTAATATTTTAAAAATCATACATACTGAATAGGCTCTTTTTTGACAAATTCAGTGTTTTCTTCTCCCTGTACTGCAAGATAAGACTGAAGTGAATACAAGCTGAATATAGCTTGTGTTTAGGTCTTCAGCTAAACTTTTAAAATAGCAATTTAATTTAGTTTTCTTTGTGACCCCCTGTGACTCCTATTGGGGGTTAGGAGCCCCTGGTTGGGACATTGTAAACTAGTCCATCAAAAGTTAAACAAGTTTTGTGCTGTGAGTGTTGAGAGGAAACTAATCCCAGGCATTTTCAACAGTGAATCTCCAGTTAAACACACACAGGCAGGTTTAATAAGTGGTTATTCTAGCCCTGTGCTTTTGGTAGCCAATAATTTACAGTAGCCCATAACTAAGAAATAGAGCCGTTAAAGGGCAAGCATTGAACCCAAGTGTCTAGGTAAACAGGACATTTTTGTAGCAAGTTTCTTTCTTTAAATGGTTTAGCTAACAGTCAATGAATCAACCTCCCGAACTAGAACAACAAAAACATGCCACCATTAGGAACAAACACTTCCATAATCACCAACAAATCATCTTGACAAGGCACAGGAAGGAAAAAGGATGGAAAAGAAAGAGGAGGAAGGGTGTGACCCAGCTAGAGCAGAGAGGGAAGAGAGGGAGATGGAGAGAGAACTGAGCCTTGCTGATAGAGAAATTCGTTCATACATACTACACTGTAAGGTAATGTAATACAAAAGACACACACAGCCAACACACACAGAAAACACCTGTTTAGCTGACATTCACTTACAGTGCCTTATAATGCAAGAATGTATACATGCAATCTCATGAATCTGCCTTTCCAATTAAATAGTGCACACAATCAAACCACTGTAATCCATATCAAATAGGCACACTGTGCCACCACCACTGTGGAAATGCCACAAAGATGCCATGGAAAAGCAGTAGCAGCCAGGAGTAAAAATAGTCATTCCACTTCCTGTCCCCCTTCTTCTTCTTCTGTTTCTTTCTGTTCTATTCTGGGTCTGGTGCTGCTGCACAGTGCTGTCATCAACAGCCCTCCATTACAGTAACATGGCTCACAAACAGCTAAAAGGAGCCTCCAACAGGCTGCTCTGCACTCAGCTTTACAGTCACTCATTGTCACTGTTTGTGAAATATATCATTTCAAACTGGTCCTTCTCCTTGTCCCACTGAGTCTTGAATACTGCCTCACTTTCATCTTTCCAGAGCTTTTACTTTTCTCCTTTCCCTGTCATCCCCACTTTTGTCTCTCTGTGGAGATGCCAGAGCAGGGCCTACTCTGTTATTAAGCCCATCTGTAGCTGGTCAGAGGATGTTGGCCACAGTGTGCGTGTATGTGTCTGTGTGTGTGTGTGTGTGTGTGTGTGTGTGTGTGTGTGTGTGTGTGTGTGTGTGTGTGTGTGTGTGCGTGTGTGTGTGTGTGCAAACTTAATACTGCTTTTACTGTTCTCTATAGCTACCAGTTGCTTACTGCTTGTGCCTTCACTACATTTTTAGGATCTTGTTATTTTTACAATGTTTCCCTTCTTTCCAATTGAATTATTTCTGCACTGAGATATCCACTGGCTTGTCTTTTTATAACCCTTAATTTTCTCCCTTCTATCCATTCTTCTCTCAAATAGTAATAGCTTTAACTATATACCAGCCCCTGTAAGTAGAGACCATATCAAGTTTGTCACATAACCAACTTTGGCAGGGTACAGTATGAACAGTATCTTATTTAAAGTTAATACTTTTATCACAGTGACATCCCCTCACTCTATCACTAATCCATGGGTCTACTATTCATTCTGTACATTAGTTTATCTTTATATATCTCCATATGCACTATATGCCAAACTGTATGTTGTTGTACTGCTATTTCCTGTGTGCAATGACAATAAAGTTGAATCTAATCTAATGCCTGTGTGGTTGGTGCATTAGCAGACTTGCAGAACATCCATCTCTATCTCTAAGTCAAGCCTCATAGACGCATTAAACTAAATACACTTCATATCATTTTCAGAAATCCCATTCTTTCTTAACAAAAATGTAATGGAGAATTATGTTTACAAAGGGCAAAAGACAGTATCATTGTCAGTGCAACATACTGTACCCAAGTAATGGGGCAAAACCCAATTCTTCCTTGACTGAATGCCCTTTCATTTAAATGTGATGCTCGCTGCATAGTTATTAAACGTTGTAAGTAATTACTTTATTAATGTTAACTGATAATTTACTATTGACTTATGGATCAATTATGAGCCATTAATTAAAACTTTTGGCTTGCTAGGTTGTGAAAAATGATTTCACTTTTCACTTGCTCTGTACAATTGCACTTTATAGATTATCCCTAATCCATAAAGTATTAGTAAATGTTTTATTAACCATTAATCAAGCTTTTATTTACAGTTTATAAACTCTTTATAAAGGATGTTGCTATTGTTTGTTGTTAAACTGGGGTGGACTGGGATCACAGTGAGTACAGTGGGAGACAGGTAAGCTAATAGGCTGATCACCAGGTACAGATGGATGTGGACAAGATAGTCAGTGAATATTATTTTAATAGTTAGAACTTTAATAGTTTGAATAAATATTTATTTTAGTTATTTTAACAAACTGTGCACTGAGAAAGCGTGTCAATGCACAACAAAAGTGACTACAAAGTCTCCTCACCATTCTCAGACTGCCACCAGGACTTCTTGCGGTGAGGTTTGAAGGTGGTGATAACATTCTCTATCCGGTGATTGATGGTGTTATACACTGGGTCATATGGCCGTCTAGAGTCACAGTCGAAACACTTCTTTTCATCCTGCAGCAGGACAAAAAAAGGTTATATGGTTATTGGTGAGAGACTTCAGATGTCAATGAGAAATCCACAACCACAGATAGGAAGGACAGACAAAAATTAACCCAACCACACACACACTGACCTGCAGATGACTGACAATGCAGTAGGGCTCTTTTTTTCTCATCCCGCATGTGGACGAGGCCTTCAGGTTCTTCTCTCGTCCAACCAGCAAGTCCCCTGTTGCCGGGTAACAGCTGCCATGGGCGCAGCCATGGCTGTGGTCAGGCTCCTGGCCAGCGACAGCAGCCAGGACTGCAAGGGGGAAAAGGAAATTAATTACAATGAACAGGAAACAGCAGTGCAGAGTGGCATCCCTCCCTAATAGAGCAACCATTCACAAGCGTGCGTTGGCAAAAAAAAAAAAGATGACTTGGAATCAGTACTATTCTTTCTGTCCTAAAAACAGAGACAACATCAAAAGCTCTTATCACTTCCTGAGGAAGGAAAGATGGGAAGTGAAACTGCAGCAAAGTGCTTAATTTATGGGTTTTGTCTGATCTAAATCAGGTCTTAACTGTTCTTTTTCCCACAAAAATATCATTACAGCTTTAACAATTAGTCAATTAGTTTGATAAGGACGTCCTCTTTGGCTTTGGGAAACAGTGATTTACACGTTGTCAAATGACAGAGAGATGAGTCAATAATGAAAATAATCACAAGTAGCATCCCTAGATATCATGGGCATAAAGAAGTGAATAAAGAGGCAAAGACAGGTAACCTGTGGTGCAACTTTATCACAATAACACTTTCATATGCCATATCCATATGACAACATAGAAATGTATCACAAATAGTGAAATAGATGTTAGCACCAGAAACAGCATCCCCCTGTATGAGAACGGAGCCAGAAACTGGATCTGCTCTGCCGAATCACAAGTATATTTGGTAAAGGATGAGCTTTTGGGAGAGACTTATTCAATGGTATACCCTTGTTATTGTGTAAAATCTGATGGTCTCGGCAGATGAATTTGGGTCATTCAGTTGCAGACAGACACTGGTTTTCTGTATGTGAGAGTATCAAGGACATGTCTCTAGATATAAAAAGGAGATTTTTTCAATTTAAGATACTAAATTGTTTCTATTGGACACCATCCATAATGATTTGTCAGCAGATTATTGGAAATATGCCAACTACCCACAAGCTTCAGATATGATTATGATGAGCATAATGTTTGGGAGGAAGGTTTTTTTAAGGGGCTGGAGGAAAGGGGAACCATCCTTTCTGAAAGATGGTGCCATCCATGGTGTAGCTTTTCTTTGTTTTATGTGAGCTCACCAAAGCAAACTCGTAGCATGAATGTTAGGCTTTTAAAGAAAGTGCCATTTTATTTTTACCTCCTAGAAATTAAAACCAATACGAGGAACAGGAACTAATAAAAGCCAAATTTGTCGTTTTTGTGGTCCGTTGTCATATTTGTGATGGATGGATAGCTCTTGCGAAAAACATTTTTAACAAACTTCTTGTTAGAAGGCTCATTAAGGTCATGAACCACAGAGAACGAGGGGCTTATTGAGCTGCACATTGCCCCCCTGCAACTACAGCTACTGCTTGATCAAGAGCTGATTCAATGTTGAGACAACATCCAGTGGGAGGGGGATTATCTGAAGGCAACCCTACAGGTTAACAGGCTCTGCTGTCTGCAGGGGTCCCAAACAACTGACCTGACAAGAGGCCCCAGCTACAGTCTAAATCTGGAGACTAACCACTGCAGGTCATACACAGGTCAACTACAACCAGCACCAGTTGGGAGTATCATCATCATAAAAATGAATGATTATTTACTAATAGTTTCATCTTCCAGATCTAACAGTGTGTCATTTTATGATACAGCACTGGGGCCTTGGTGTGACTGAATAGCCGTGCTATGTGTGGGAGCTAAAATAAACCTTGTAAACTTTCATGACAAACAGCAGCAGCCGTCACACATTCCACTGGACATCTTGACGTGAATCTCTCCTCCTACATGCCTCTAAGACCTGTGGTCTGTTGGATGTATGAGGAAATTGGTATGAGGAGAGTGGAGACCCAGGGGGCCTGCTGTCAATCTATGGTCTGTCCACAACAGGTGTTTTTAATCCTCCCTCCATATGTATACAGTCTACATGGCAACACGTAACAGCTCTACAAAACACTCCTACACTATTTCCAAAAGCTTTGGCAAAACAGGGTTTATATTCACACTCCCCAAAAGATAGAACGATGAATGTTTAGTATTTTAAACACACACAGCTTCATTTGAGCATCTGGGGGTTTATGCTGCCTTCAAATGGGGTCATGTTTACCGTGTACATAAAAAGGGTCTATATGAACGCCCTCTTGTGGTATTCACAGCCATGTACGTCGATATTTTCTGAAAGCAAAGAGTTCATGAGTTATGATGCATTTGTTAACATTTTTAGAAATGGCAAAGGCCATGGAAGTTCATCTTTCAGTGGATCCTAAATTAATATATCGTTTTTCTTCGTAATTTTATGTTAGGAATATTCTGATATTCCAAATGGCCTCATCATTGTGCTTATGCAATTCCTGTATTACATTAATACATACAGCAGCCCTGGTGGCTTCTAGACGCCCTAAGTCTTTTGGTGTCCATGTTGCTGTAGCCTAGCAGCACTGTTCTCACAACCTCTTGAACGACAAGCATATCGTGCACACGATTATAATACCCTGGCTGTGTAGCTGGCAGTTATTACATTAGCCAACTAGCTTAGTTAGATACTGCTTGTAGAAGTTAGCTAGCTAGTATAGACTAATACTTACAAAGCGTATTGTGTGCTTACGAAACATAGCAAACACGCAAATACATTATTTTAGCACTAAGTAGATTTTTGTTTACTCATACTGTGTGTTATAATCAATTATAATGGCTCCTAAATGATTGTTTGAATGCCTCTCATTAACTTTATCATGTTTTCAGTAACATTTAACAAATTGAAGTCTTTAGTTTAAAGGTGTACTATAGCCATAGCCTATACCATGTCAAATAGCAGCATAGAAAATCTTGTTTCCCTGTCAGTTATATCCCTGCTGCAGTGTGGTTATTTCTTAAATCAAAAAGAGACAGCACATAGTGAAGAACAAGGTCCCTAGATTGTTACTGAACAAATCTTAACGATGTGAGCCTGCCATGAAGTCAGCCTGCTGCCTACACACTGTACAATGGTGAGTAACTTTTTAATGTTGACAGGCACGCAGGGAGACTGGCTGCAGTACCTGCCAGTGCCTGGAAGCTCTCTGCAGGTCTACACTCAATGATTGAGGTAGACAAAGACAGAGGCCAGCTGTAGATAGGGAGCCTGCTGGGAACAGTGCAGAGGAGGATTTCACATGGACACACACACACACAATCTTGACACTCACTCTAGAGGAAACCTGTGTTTGCCTGGCACCTGGACAAATGTCAGGTTGGTGCCAGCTAAGTGAGCAACAAGCAGATATGAGGTTAACATGCAGTAGGCCACAAACACACGCCTTGGGTATGGAGGCTCATATGTGCACCTGTGCATCCATACAGAGACACTTACCCACTCTTGCACAATGCAAGACATTCATTCAGTTACAGTAATAGTCAGGACTGACTTTCAAACCCACAAGCACAACCATGTACACCTGCTCCACTTTACAAAGTGAATGTAAGCATCAAGTACAGGCTTGTTGACACACAGACACCTATTAGAGGATTTGTTCAAGGATAAAGTAACAATCTGAGTTGCTTCACATTTATCATTATCAGCAAAGACTATGACTGACATAATGACCTGTGATAAAATAGACCTGAGGTCATTCTCTTTATCTGCCTCTGAGAGAGAGGAAGAGAGTGTGAAAAACACAAACAGAGCAGGTTAGATGAGTGATTTGGTGGGTGAGGGAAAAAGAGGAGCGACACAGCACAGAGCCTTTGTACAGACAGTGGGAAGACCCATCCAGACACAACCTGATATCTATTCTGGAAACTATTGGCACACACTCAAAGGTCTGTGTGTGTGTGTGTGTGTGTGTGTGTGTGTGTGTGTGTGTGTGTGTGTGTGTGTGTGTGTGTGGAGGAGCAAAGCAGACGTGTGATGTGTTGTGTAATCACTAGGTTTCTTGTCGTCTTTTATCTCTGTGTGTTTCTGTCTGTGTTTGTTTGTCTACTGCACAGCCTTCACACCTCTGCTCACAACATGTAATGAAAACAAGATATGCAGAAGAATATCTGCATATTTCTTATTAACACACACTGGATAGTGCTAAATTAAAAGGGGCACAAATTAAGACATTTTAAATCCCTTCAGTTCAGTTTTCTGAAATTATACTTTTAAAACCCCTATTCCTTGATTTTTTTTAATACTCCATATGCTGTGTACTACAATCCAGAACCACTTCATTGGTCCAAACATCAAATGATAAATCATGTAAATGATGGTATGCATGTGATGACTATGCATTTCTATTATTCTCAATGTGAATCTGAAACAAATAGGCTTGGCAGGGTGATATCAGAGCCTTCATGGGCCGCAGAGCTGACAGCGATCAGACCGCTGCTGCCTTGACGCAAACCAGGGAGGGAAGCAAAGCACAGTGGAGGCACGAAGGAGAGATGGGTGGTATCCATCATTCGGTAGACACTTGGGTAGACGCATTCAAAGCACTTTACAGTGCAGCGAGAGAATACTTTTAGTGTGTAAGCTCTAACTGTGTAACTGCAACACGCAGGAGCTGCAGGATGTACAGAGAAAAGTAAAGAATATGAGGGGGGGAAAGAAGAGATGATGGTGCGGAGGAGCCAGCAGGCACTTTGAGCGTTAGAAAGTTCATTAAAATGCCATATGCAAAGTAATTGTTCTGTCTACAACCTTATTGTATAATCACCTGAAAATAAGACTCATTGTGTTTTCGTTAGCTTAGAATGAGCTGTTTTTATCTCCAGAGTGAGCTCCCCTCTATCACGGCAGCCGTCATGTTGAGCTGCCATGTTTCTACAGTAGCCAAGAACGGACAAACCAAACACACTCTATGCTCTAGATAAAGCCTTTGGCATTTTTCACAAGTTTTGCTGTTGCTGTAGTTCCTCCTACACGCTGGAAAAGCCAGTGGTATTCATTTGGGTGCAATCTGCAACTTCACCGCTAGTTGCCAATAAATCCTACAAACTGGTCCTTGAATAGGTAACAATCAAAAAGCAGCTATTATCATAGGTCAACATTTTGTACAAATTAAACAAACAAGATATAATTTGTTAATTAGTCAAATTCAGAGGTACTGGTAAGCC